TATTTAGAATTAATCCCAACCCTACGCCTTCAAGTGTTACTCAAAGGGAAACAGGTGTACCAAGTAAGATTATGTTCAGAAAATAACGGGAATTTTCGTTTTAAGTCCCCATTAGTTATTTTGCATTTGTGCCAGCGCTCCTTCCAATCGTCGAAAGACTTCTCAAACTTGATCTTTGGGAGAGACTTTAACTCTCTCAGCGATGCTCTTTCAAAGTCTTACTTATGAAACAACGGACATTTAAGGTTCTCTATATTTTTGAAATGAGGAAAAAGTCACACGGAGCCATGTCTTGCGAATATAGAGGCCGGGGCATCGTTACAGTATTGTTTTTGGCCAATAATTCACGGACAAGTAATGAAGTAATGCAAAAACCATGAATTGTTTTTCTATAAATCCAGGACTTTCTTCGGATTGCTTCACGCAAATTATCGGCGATTTCTCTGGTTGTGATTCGGAAATCGTTGATAACTATTTATTTCACTTTTTCCACGTTTCTCATCGGTTGTTATATGCTGGGGAGTCCGGGCCATTCGTCATCTTCAGCTGCTTAACGGCCATTTTGGAAAGGCTTATACCACTCGTAAACTCTTATTTTGCTGATTAGACTCACCATAGACGTTTGTTAACATTTCACATATTTTGTAACATTTAATCTCATTTTTTTGCGCAAAATTTTATACACATTTTTGATCCATTTGTTTCAAAAACACGTCCATTTGTTTCAAAAACACGTCTAACCTCCGCGGCTGCCACAGACAAAGTCAACGAAGAATAAGAATACAACAGAAAATTTTATTTATTGGCATGTACCAACATAATAATGAAAAACTTGTCTTGACAAGTTGTACTTGTGTTGAATCAATCTTAAAGATTCGGTTCAAGTTATAATTCGAATTATAAAGATTCGAATTATAACTTAAATCAATTTGTATTTAACTCTTTATTATAATATGGGCATGAAGAAAATCATTTATGAGGTCCAATGATTCTTGCTATTAACTTTCTAAATTGTGACAAACATATTTTGCAAAGAATTCAATTGAAGACTGTAATGGAATTCACTATTTTAATTGCATTATGAAACGACAGAAAGGGGAACATTATTGAAAAAACATTATTGAGTTGGTTACTAGAAAATAATAATATTATAATAATAAATATGTTTTATAGTCCAAATAGAAATCTTATTGACAAAGTTGAGGACAATGATAATGTTTAGAATAAAAAACAAGAAATTGAAGACTTGGTGTATTAAACTCTATACTCTTCTTCAACGATTCTGTCGTTAATTTGAATCAGCCCCATCTCCTGACGTCACTAAGTTGGTTGGTGGAACGCGTGTTGAAACGACTTCTACAATTTAGGTTTATGGGAAAAGTATCAGTTCTGAATTTTCAGTTGATTTTCAGAATAATATAAAAAACTTTTTTGTTTCAAATTCTTTTACCTACAGTCATTTATCATAAGAAATGTTTATTTGACCAAGTATTTTAGAAAAGTGAAAACTACTTGATTCTTTAGTTTTTTTCATTTTCATAGTTAGATCACATTGAATAGGTTCAAGAAGTCATCATAATCTGACAACGTTTTATATTATAAATATATTGATATAAATATCACCCTTGATTAGATATTTATTCTATATTTATGGGGGCCTTCCATAAAATCATTCAAAATACCCACAATATTAATTTTTTAGGGTTTATATTAGACCATACTCCTAAGCCAACTTAAAAGATCACATTATCATATTATGCTGTTTGCTTTGTCAATCTGGAAAAATTTATAATTTTCTTTGCCAGATATTATAGATCAACCCAGTCACCTGCCTAAATGAAGTGTTTCAATAGGTTTCAAACGAGAATTCTGGTTGGGTAAAGTACGACCCCGCTCGAGTTGTAGGATATACCCTGCATTTCATTTAAAACGAGCCACCCTGAATAACTTTTGAGACAGTGATTTTCAGGAAAAATAAAAAAACAGGTTAAAAATTATACAGGAGGCCACATTTTGAAATATTCGTTCTAGAAACAAATATGGAAGCAATAAATCAGAAAAAGAATTTTTTTATTTATTTTTTAATCAAAATCTGATGACTGGACAATGAGAAGAAAAAAAATTCTATAGTAAATGTTCAAAAACGTTTCCACCAACTTCCATACAATGGTACAAACGAGCTTCCATTGCTGCCATCACATGGTTGAGAATCTCATGAGTTATTTCTCTGCAATGCCTCATGATATTCTTTCTCAAATCTTCTAATGTTCTTCATTCTACCTCATACACTTTAGACTTCAAATGACCCCATAGAAAGAAATTTACAGGAGTGAGATCCGGAGACCTTGGTGGCCATTCTGTAGGACCTCTTCTGCCAATCCATCGACCAGGAAAATGATCATACAAAAATTGTCGCACTGGAGCTGAATAATGAGGAGGTGCACCATCCTGCTGAAAAACTTTTTCGTTTATAACTAAATTTATATCCTCCTCAATTGCCCTATTGATACACGGTATTATTTGATTCTCCAATATATCCAAATATTTATCACTAGTCAAATTATCATTGATGAAAAAAGGTCCTTTGTTGTCACCTGAAATTCCTGCCCAAACATTCAGTTTTTGAAGTCGTTGGGTATGAACTTGACGGTATAAATGAGGATTCGTATCACTCCAATACCGAAAATTTTGCTGATTCACCTCTCCATTCAAATTAAACGTACATTCATCCGAAAAACAAATTTTGTACAAGAAATTCTGATGCAAGTTGATCCGTTCAGTGAGACTTTCATAAAACTGATACATCTACCGAAATCATCTTTGTTCAATTCATGAACTAGTCTAATATTATATGGATGAAATTTGTACTTATTAAGGATCCTGAAAACATTTATTCGACTGATTTCTGATTCTCGAGATGACTTAGTAAGAGATTGCGAATTTTCCATTAGTCCAACGTGCCCTAAAACTGCAGTACAAATAGCTTCATCGTTGACAACTCCTGAACGGTTATGCTTTTTATTGTTAATAGATCCAGTTTCCATAAATTTGTTCAATAATTCCGAAACGTATTTGTGTCATACATTTCTTCCTGAATGATTATCATTGAACATACGGGCATCAGCTCTAGCACTATTTCCACTCTGGTAGTACAAACTCACTATTTCAATGCGTTCTGGAAGCGTATAAACCGTTGCTTCTCAAGAATTCAAAAATAGAAACACCAATCGTAACTTCACCTGGTAGGTAATAGTTATTGTTGAATGAGACAAATACAAAATGAAGAGAATATCGAATTCAAACATAACTAGGCAAAATAAGACAGATTATACAGTAAGTTATTTGCACGAAATTTGGTACCCTGGGTGGGAATCATAATTTCGTATTAATGTTTATGTAACATTTAGAGGGCGCTGTGTACGCTGTCAGTATTCATTTCAAATTCCCCAAACTTTTTTGACAGTAAACTTTTCATTGAAAAACCCAATTCCCACACTATTTCCAAGTAAAAAAGGTACGATTCCTCAACAGCGCTGGGGGTGATTGTTTTCGAGATATTTACAATTTTCTATATCGATGCATATTACTTAGCTCCTAGGATGCTAAGTGAAATTGCTGAGAACATTACAAAAACTAAGTATGTGGTAGATCTCCTATAAAATATTTATCGAAAAATCATTCGTTGTCGAGATACAAATTGTTGAAATTTTTCAAAACATGGTTGGTTTTTGTCATAAGTTTTTTGCAATTTCAGTTATTTTCATCAAACATTTTATAGAAAAAAGTTGTTTAATTTGACAAGGTCCACCACACACTTTCTCAGCAACTTCACTTAGCGCCCTAGGAGCTGAATAATATGCATCGATATAGAAAATTGTGAATATTTCGAAAACGATCACCTCCAGCGTTGTTGAGGAAGTGTCTCTTTTTTACTTGTAAATGTTGTGGAAATTAGGTTTTTTCATGAAAAGTACCAAAAGTTCACTGTGAAAAGTTAGGGCAATTTGAAATAAATAATGACAGCGTACGCAGCGCCCTCTAGATATTACATAAAAATTAATACGAAATTATGATTTATCACGTCAAAAAAATCCGGGTACCAAATTTCGTGCAAATAACTCATTTTTTGCAAAAGTTATTTTTAAAAAACAAACAAATCAATTTCAACACCCTGTATCTCCGAAATGAAGCATTTTCGGGCACAAGTTTATATAGACTTTTTTTCTTACAATTGTCTCGGGAATACTTCACTTGAATATTTTAACGTACTTATGTTACACCCTGTATTCGTTCATACAAACCATACCTACAAACATACATGCATACTTATACACGCTATATCTCTTCAATATACTGAGTACACGCTACCATCCAAATAGGACACTCTCCGATTATACACAAACGTCAGGTGTTTTGCCTTCCTCTTGCACATATGAAATAAAAGGATTCTATATAAAAGTATGTGTTTTACGGCATATTTGTATGTTGATGCATATGCTTTTTATCGTCCCAACTGTATATTCATACATACACGCAAGCAAATATTGCTTGAAAAATACTCCTTTTGGTCTTTCTACCTCTACATCAGAATACAAGAAACCGAGAAATCCCAATATTTGTTAGTTTTTTATCCTTTTTTTGTAATAAGATTTCCATTGTTTGCTCTGGGAGAGGTAGAAAGCCAAAAGGGGTTAATTTTAAATGAAAATGATACCACGAAGTTAATTTGACATGACATATCAAAAATTCGCACATATTAGAGCCAAGTTAATGAATACATTATTTGTTTGGTGTCGGAATTGTGCAATATTATAGTTGAATTTTAAGATACAATTTGAACGTGATTTTTACCTTCGCTTTTTATCTCAAAAATTCTACAATTTCACTCCCAACCTCTTAGACTCTTAATTACCACATTAGCTCTCAAAAGAGAAATACTCTTCCCTTCAGAAATATGTTTTTCAATTCACACCAAGTTGAAACACTGTATCTTGTTCCAGGTACTTTTAGCAATGCATGCTAATGTGGAAGATCGTGGCATTAAAGGAGAATGTACTCCTTTAATGGAAGCAGCATCAGCAGGTCATCTTGATATTGTCAGGCTTTTGGTAGCTCATGGAGCTGATGTCAATGCGCAGTCCACATCAGGTAATTACCAAATCTGAAACTATTAATTTGTAGTTAGTTTATTCTCCAAAAATATTTACCTACAATAAGTCTAAACCAGTGTTTCTCAAAGTGTGCGCCCTGGGTTGCCGTGGAATCTTTACTGGGGCACCGTGGGCCACGGGTGAGTCTCAAGGTACAATGTTTTACAACATAGATAACTGAGAGTAAAGGTAATATGTTGGTACCTATTAAAAAAAATCCTCTGATAAAATGATAATATCGGTAATTACAAAATGCAATCCGTTCAGACAGCCACCTACCTACTTTTATTAATTAAATATCTAGTGTGGTCTTTACGTTCGGGGCGCCGCGATAACCTTCAAAAAACATAAGGGAGCCGTGAATTCGAAAAGTTTGAGAAACACTGGTCTAAACGAACCCATATTAAAATCTGATGAACAAGATAAAAGGCTTTCAATATTAATTAAAATATTAATTACTAGCTGTGGCCCGTGACTATGGAAAATTGTTTGACAAACTATATACATACCATATCAACTGAACCATATTTCAAAGTAATTTTTTTCAACAAATGTTTGACCTGATTCTTTGAATTGACATAAGATTTTTATTTATGATCTGATTAAAATAAGTCAAACGCTAATTTCCTCCAATAATAGTTGTTCTCAAATACTTTCCATATATAGTCAGCAATCAGTTATACTTTAATTATACAGTTCTTTTCTTTAATTTCCCCCTTTATTTTTTGAACGGGTCAACTCAAAAAATTTAAATTTGAGATAATGAAATTAATGCATGAATACTTTATTTTGAAGTGAAATTGACAGATGAAACTTTCAAGATGGCGACTGGGCGCCATCTGGAAAAAAAATTNGAGGTAACCAACTGCATATCCAAATTTGCCCAATTCCTCGTAAAAGGAAAGAAATCTTTCACGTATAGTCAGTGGGCATACTTGAAGACTGGCTATAAATCAAATCATCTAAAGGAACAATTCGTTCAGGCCAGTCTCAACACCCTACACTGTAGGTTAATAGACTGACACCTATCAGAAAACAACTACTCCCCTGTCTAATACCACGAAGGGTGTTGGATTATATCTGACAGGTGTCATTGCAGGATTCTTCACTGAAGTTATTCCTGCATTTGCTGTTTGGCGATACAACTGCCGCCATAGATTTTCAATTAATGGGACACACTTGCAGACCGGTTTCGGGCTGTTTGGCCACTCGTCAGTGCAAGGTAGTGTCTGTCATCTACATAAAGTCGAAGCTAAAACCGGTCTGCAAGTGCGTTCCAATAATTGAAAATCTATTGCAGCAGTTGTATCGCCAACAGCATATGCAGGAATAACTTCAGTGAAGAATCCTGCACGGACATCTGTCGGACATAATCCAACGCCCCTCTGTGGTATCAGCCAGGGGAGTAGTTGTTTTCTGATAGGTGTCAGTCCATTAACCTACAGTGTAGGGAGTTGAGACTGGCCTCAACAAATTGTTCTTTTAGATGATTTGAATAATAATGATGAAAAAAAATTAGCATTTTTCTGAAAAAGCACGGACAAAAGATATGAAAGGGTCATTAAACTTTACTATCGTGAAACTATATTCAATGGTAGTATTAGAAAGTATCTTCTATTGTGTCACAACATTGCTTTAGAATTACAGCAATTACATTTTTTTTCCATCTTTGGAGGCATTATGAATCTTATTTTGTAATAAAATGCCTTATCAATTATTATGATAATTCAATAACTGAAGAGTGTACTTCTAACGAATCTAAAAGACATCTAATGAATCTATAAGACAGTTTTTGAGATTGTGCCCTGAATATAATCTATGTTTCATCACCAATGCTCTCATAAACACAACAGTTATTGCATTGAAAACTAGTTTATTTTGTTTACTCTTAAAAAGGACCACAAAAAGTGTTTGTGCCAGCAAATGAGGAAAAAATTATTACTTAAGTCAAAATAAAAATCCGTTTCAAATAGGACAGAAAGACTTAGATTTTGGTAAGATTTTCTATATGTGGTGTTCGCCGGAAAAAGGGAACATAGTGTATCAAGAACAAGTTTTCGAGAAAAACACATTAAAATTTTTGCATGTTCACATCTTCAGTGAGGTGTTAGGTCTTGATATCATTGGTCTGGGTATCTGTGAAGTCATTCCTGCAATCTGCGATATTTAAGAGTGTGGTGATAGCTTCAGTTATCGAGTCTGTGATTGAGCTACAATGCAGCTGGTTAAAGTAGCCTCTTCGTTTCTGGGTTACCGCAAATTTTTTCTTTCAGTTTCGTAGTTTGCGTGAGAATTTCATCGTGAATCATTAATTTTCATAAATTCTATTTTATTGAAATAAACGCGAGTGATGATTTAGAATGGTATGGGTTAATGGGGGATATACGATGTGGTATGTAATGAAGATGTATCTTCTGCAAGTTCCGGTTCAAATATCACATCAGAAAATTGTGAAACGGAGTATGCTGAGTTGAGGAGAATTTTATTGAAACATAACTGAATAGTTCTCGCATCAGCATTGTAGAACTTGAAGAATCTGTTATGTGAATGTACCTTTTTTCAGCAAATGGTTTTGAACATACAATTACCGAATATGGGTGTATTTTTTTCGCAAGTTTCACGAAGTTTGCGTGAAAGAGCATGCGTTCAAGTGTCAAATAATTAAGTTAAAACTCATTTTTGGACACACTATGTACTTTTTTCGGCGAACACCACATATGTATGTCATCTTTTATCTGTCGTCAATATATATCCTAGCATTTTTGTATTTGACGAAAAATGTTGATTTTAAGTACATAATGTATTGTGAGCTGGAAATTGATTGGTGTTAAATTGATTGGTGTTAATGGTCTTAAATATCGTAAGACTAATTTTAGTGGCATTAAGAAATAGCTGTTGGCTTGAACGTTTAAAGTTCATTTCTTTAGATTTGTTCACTGCCAGTCTTCAAGCATCCACTGACTAAAAAGAAAGTTTTTTCTTCCTTATTCAGAGAAATCGGACAAATTTCGGATATGCAGTTGGTTAGTACCTCGTCCACTAGATGGAGTGACATTTTGTTGTTCATTCCAACTTAGGAAGAGGAATGAAATACTCTGAAAAAATTCCGATTTTTTCAATTATGGAATATCATTGACTTTAGGTTGATGATGGCCACTATCTTGCACTGATGAGTGGGTAATGAGCCTGAAAACGGTTTGCAAGTGTGCCTGTTCCAAAATTGAAGGTCGACTCTTTCAGTTGTATTGCCAATTGCATATGCAGGAAGTTTTCTGAGAAGATTCCTGCACTGACACCTGTCGGACATAATCCAACGCCCTTCGTGGTATAAGCCAGGGGAGTAGTTGTTTTCTGATAGGCGTCGGCCCGTTCAACCTACTGTGTAGGTATACTCGAGACTGGCTTGAACGTTTAAAGTTCATTTCTTTAGATTTGTTTACTGCCAGTCTTCAAGCATAGCCCACTGACTAATAAGATAGATGTTTTTTTTAATATGAAAATGCATTGGCTAATTTTTTATATAGAAATATTCAGAATACCTTTCCAATTGGCAAAATGAGATAAGAACACATGTACTCGTTTTTATAAATATTTCTGATACATACTTTCATTCATTCAGCTATAATTAGATACAGGGATATAGACTTTACATTTTTTTATTTCCCTTTTCTCTCTACAATTTTATATACTTCTCACATTTAATTATATCGTCCCTGTTGAACATTAAGATTGGGACAGATAGATATTTTTCTTGTATTGAAGTTTTTTAATCTTGAATGCCACAGTAGATAGTTTAAGTGTGTTTCAAACAGTCATTTTGAAAAACAGTTTGAATTTCCTATTTCTCTAACAGTCCTTCAACATTTGTCTTGCATGTGCATATCTCCTCTATCATAAAATTCTATCTTTAACCATTCAAAAAACTGACTCTTGTTAGATATATAACTTTTAAGCAGAAAAACGTACAAAATTTAACTAACTTAGTATGTAGTTCCTTTAAAACTTTTTACAGGAAACACCCCCCTTATGTATGGTTGTGCCGGCGGACACACCGAAGTAGTTAAATTCCTTCTTGAGAACGGCGCCAATGTTGAAGACCACAACGAGAATGGCCACACCCCTCTTATGGAAGCTGCTAGCGCAGGCCACGTTGGACTTGCCAAGATTCTTCTTAATCACGGAGCAGGGATCAACACCCATTCAAATGAGTTCAAAGAATCTGCCCTCACGCTGGCCTGCTACAAAGGTCATCTGGATATGGTGAGATTTCTGCTCGAAGCTGGAGCTGACCAAGAACACAAGACCGATGAAATGCATACCGCCTTGATGGAAGCTTCCATGGATGGTCATGTTGAGGTAATTTTTTATTTTTTGTATTGTAATAGCAAACCTTCCCGTATTCAAATGAAACTATTCAGAATCTAACTTACAATTTTCATAAATTTGGTACTTGATAAAAAATGGTCTGGGGTATTCAATGCAAAAACTTTAAATAAGGCATTCAATTATTACTGTTTTCACATTGAAGAAGAAAAATTAAGAACAACGATAAAGGCATGGTTCAACTCAAAAGTCAAATGTAATCACACATACAAAAAATATAATCATAGAAGATTAAAAATATTCAATATAAAGAAAAACTCGAGGAAGTCAAATTATAATATAATAATGATATAATAAGTAATGAAAATTATGTATTATAGGATAGTTACAAGATAGTCAATGAAAGGAAAAACAACAACATAAGATTTATAATCACTTCAATGATTTTTTTATGAATGTTGGAGCCACTAAACCGAACATGGAAAATATAAAACTCTATAGGTATAGATGATATCTGGAAAACTGTAAAAGAAATTGGTAATTCAATATGATATCCATTATCACACATAATAGATACTTCGTTATAAGCCGCTAGTCCATGCTGAATTTTTAGGGGCTCAGTTGAAAGTGGTACACCTGAAATCTTGGAAAAGTGAAAACACAACTTGGGAGAATGAACTTGACAGCTTTTATAAATTTAGATACTAATTAAATAAATATGAAGATCCTAGGTAAACTTGTCACCAATAAACCATCTTTCAACTTCTTTTTAATAGAAACTGGAGTCTTGTGATACTTTGTTTGATAGGTCTTTCATTTATTTATCCAATTTTTTTTATTTTTGAAAATCAAGCAAGCTGACCTTGCGTAATCATCAGGGTATATATAGGTGTATATTTTGTTTGGAATCTATGACTTATATTTGTGTGCTCTCAACAAAATTCTTACTAAACAATACTTTTCAGAACATTGATTTAAATTAATTTTTTTAAATGATTATCTTAAAGGTGGCAAGGCTTCTCCTAGATTCTGGAGCACAAGTCAACATGCCAACTGATAGCTTCGAGTCGCCTCTCACCCTTGCAGCGTGTGGTGGTCATGTAGATTTAGCAATGCTACTGATTGAGCGTGGAGCCAACATCGAAGAAGTTAATGATGAGGGATACACACCACTCATGGAAGCTGCTAGGGAGGGACATGAAGAAATGGTTCATCTCTTATTGGGACAGGGTACGTGATTTTTGGGATTTCTTATTAGTGAGAAAAGGGTTTTTTCAACTTATTCTTCCTGAATAGCTGTAAAAGTATCCACCAACTGAACACAACTCTATTTATTCCTAATGTGATCAAATAAATCATAATTTTTTTCCCCCACCAATGCAAGCATTGGAGCATTGGTTGATGCACTTGTCGCATCAAGCATTGTCTATCATAGATTGTTAGTCCAAAGAAAATCGAAAAACCTTTCTTATTTTAACCTACATAACCTTAGTTCATGAAGTCGATGTTCATTATCATTTTGAAGGTTGTTGAAACGGTGGAGGAAGTTGTAATTATTAACTCATCATTGTCCAGTTTTGACCAATACTTTTGCAACTATATGGAAATCAATTGTTTTTCATTCAGAATGTTACTTCAATGTGTCAGTTAATACAGTGTGTCAGAATTTGATCTGTATATGGATGCTCTTATATATGCATTCTAAACACAAATGTTGTTTTGAGTATGTTTCAAATCAAAAAGTATAAATATTATATTTACTTATGATGCACTGTTTGGTACCTTTGGTGTAGTAACGAATATTACTGGAGTTTTTTCCCAACACCAAATAGTTATTTTTAACACCTCGACACGTGTTTTGATCACCAAGTGATCATCTTCAAAGAGGAAGATTAAACTGTTTAATCTTCCTCTTTGAAGATGATCACTTGGTGATCCAAACACGTGTCGAGGTGTTGGGAAAAAACTCCATTAATATTCAATATTATATTTGACTTGAAATTGAGCAATAATACAAATTAATAAACCTTTGATATCAACACCTTAACAAACACAAGAAAATCAATATTAATTGAATTATCTAAAAATTGTGATCCTTTTTTCGATCACATAGATATAGATGAATTGTATTGTTATTTTTGAAACCAATTGATATTTTTTCATCTGAATGTTTGTTGGAAAAAGTATATAAAACAACTTTGTTTTTTAACATAACTTTCGAGTTTATTGCAGTGAAGCTGCAGAGACAAGAGAGACAAAAAATTGATATATAACTTACTGTGCAAATAGTTTTTTAAGTTAGGTTGTCCATAGTTCATTTATAAGATCAATCCATTTTCTAAAAAAATGACATACTCTATTTGATACTGACTAATAATATTCCAATTTTAATAATTTGTTCCAGTAACTATACTTTTGGGTGCTTTCATTTTTATTCATTGATACTTTCGCTGCGAAGATGAAAATAATTATTTATTAGTTGATAAATTGATGTTTGAAGTTATTTTTAATATGGAGCCAATTATTGATTCTCTTTTGAATATGTCAGACAACTATATCGATAAAATATTTTAAAAAAGCAATTCCCAAAAATGTAAACCCAGTGTGCTGTCCGAGTTATGCGGTATGCAGACATAAATGAAAGAAAAATTAATTGTGACCCGACCGGTATTCGAAATCGGCTCTCTTATTCTCTAGACAGGTGCATTAACCAATTAAGCAATACGAACCATCAAGCAGAATGACAGCCAAATCACGGTCGGGTCACATTTTCACACAAGAAGTCACAAGAAGTATAATATAACAAATTGATCTTCAAATGCATTAACTTTCATTGCTAAGTTTATCACAATTAACAAATTGGTATTTTGATATTTGGTATAGATACGCCTGAAGAAGCTATTGTATAGCGAAACACATGTTGCATGTTTCTTGAATATAGCTTTCATCAACCTCTACAACTTCTATTAGTGAAATTTTTTCCTATCTTGAATAAGGAAGCAACTATCGTCCACCCACACATCATTGATATACTCTGTATAATATTTTCCATTTACGTATTTGAGGAAAACTGTATTTTATATACTTTGCACTGTCTGAACCAATATGTACTTTTAATTGAATAATTTTTAAATTCAATAGTTTGCTCCTCTCTGTTCATGATTTAACATAAAAAATAATTGCAATAAACACTGGATTTTTTTCATATTTTAAAGAAAATCTTGCATTAAAAAACTAATCTTTTTGTCAATGCATCGCAGCGAAGGTGTTGATTTGATTAACTGATAGTAATTTCAAAGTATTCAAATGTTCAAAAATTATTATTAAATCTTGCAAATATTTCCATTCAAGTGAAAAATACTCAATAATTTGAAAACTTTGTAGTTACAACATAAACCTTCCCGCTCATCTCTAAAATGGGATAGGTACTTTCTGTACCATTTCTTTCAGTCCAAGTAAAGGGGTTTAACCTCACTATTTTTTCAAATGTTCTGGGATTTTGTCTTTTGAAAATGATAAAAATTATTGAATAATAGATATACAAATATTTTTTATAAAAATTAAAATAACAATGGTTATTTTTTTCATTCAAAGTTAAAAGATTTTCATCATTTCTCAAAATGATACAATTGTAAATTGAAATTGTTTACAATTCCCAAGAATTTCGAAAGCTTTATTAAAACCTCAGAAACTTTCAAGTTTGATATGAAAAGTTTTCAATGTGAAATTTGTCAATCATGACAAAGAAATTATTCTTTTGGGGCTCTTGAACTCAATTCAAAATATTTTATTATCACTTCTCAGCAAGCAAAACTTCACTCGGCCCGTTTGAAAAAATTGTGGGATTTCTAGAGATTTTGTACTCTCGGAGTTGGTCTATATGGGATTTTCTCACCCCTGAGAGTGACAGCGATAATTTTTTGAAACATTTTGCAAGCTTTTCTATATTTTAGTTCAAGAAGGGGCAGATTTTACGTCCCACGTCACCACCAAATGGAAGGATTGATTTATTGTTAGTCATCGCATAACTTCAACAAATATTTATTTTTAGGTTACGTTAATGAATTGATATTTTCACTTTCAGGGGAGAGAAAACCCCAACATATGCGGATTGAACGTAAGTTCCATTAGTAAAAACCATTGAAACGTTTTTTATTAATTTTTATTTCATTTATTTATTTACATTGAATATTTAAAATATTTATGTGTAGATCTGAACTTCAGCTGTTTTTTATAAAATGGCATTTTTTTAGTTGGTTGAAATTTGTAAACTGAATATCTAAATGACGGTTTGATCACGAGTAAATATTCTGAAGTAGTCAGAATATTTACTTGTACTGTGTTTTGAATTCATTTTTATTATGACAGTCATTATGAAATGGATATTCTGTATATAAATTGAAACATTGTTAAATTGATTTTTTATTGTTGGAACTCTGTTGGGAAATATTTGATAAGCAATTGTTCTTCCGTATTGAAATGTTTGAAATCCGAAATATCGTTTTATGATCTGAATCAGTTGCTTAGCATTTTCAAATAGAAACAAAAATTGAAAAAACATCCAATGTATATATGACATAATGTTTCTGATCATGAAGAACAGTTGCTTACTTTATTTTGTCTACTTTTTTTCAAAGTTGCATGTACAGATTTGTTTGACTATTTCATTAGCTGAACTATTTCTTCGAATTTTTTTTTATTCTTCAAAAAGTCTAATTTAAGACTTTTCGAAGACTATTTTTTCTTCCACTAAATTTATTAGATTTTGCCAATTGGCTGAAAGCCAGTTCATTGAATGAAATAATACTGAATAAAAAATTCAAATGTTTCTTTAAACTGGAGCTACATAATCTAAATCCTCTCAAACAAACATGAATCATGAGAATTTATTTTTAGATCTAAAAATATCGTCTGGTAATACTTAATTACCTCAGCCCAATTTTCGAGTTTACCTGTGTGTTGTGGACTATAAATAGATTCTGTATTCGATAACTCTCCATTAAAATGTTCAGATATTCCCTATGAGAACAGAAATTAACCAACAAGAAATAATCTCTGAAACAAATGTATTAGAATATTACATTCTTCTTTTTTATGTTTTCATTCACATGATATATTCCGCAACACTTTGTTTTATTTTTATTCAAGAATTAAAGTTGTTTGTCATGAACTTGGTTTATATTTTTCAAAATATATTTTCAGTTTATTATTATTATGTGCATGTTAGTGATCGAATAAATGGAGTTATATATTTGATTTATACACAAATTTTGGGTATATCCATCAAAACCATCAAATTTAACCAAATATTTATGAATCGAATTCAAAAAATTGAAGATTTTGATGAGGTTTAAATGAAGTGAATGTATTTATTTATTGTTATGTTTTCAATAAATAAAAGTTTAATTGTGGCAGTAATGTTTTTCATTACCAGCAATTCATGAATGAATACTGATTTTGAAGTCAAGGGCTTTTTTTTCAGAGAAAACTAACAAATCTGTTTTATCTCACAATATTATTAAATCAGAGTAATATCAAAGAACAGATTCATATTTGACAGTGTCATTTTGAAGTTATAATGACATATCATAAATCTTGGAAAAAGAAAAGTGTCAAACTAATTCAAAGCACAACACACATTTTGTATGAAATATTCCATAATTGGTGGAGTAAGAAACATGAAAGGTTTTTATGGACATATTCATTTGTTTGTACCGTTTTTATTTCTGTATTTGATTTCTATAAACGATTTTCAATTCTTCCATTACTGGAATTTCAGGAGCCAATATCAACGCCCAAACTGATGAGACCCAAGAGACGGCTTTAACTCTAGCTTGTTGCGGAGGTTTCACAGAAGTAGCCGACATACTTCTCAAAGGAGGTGCAGATATCGAACTCGGTGCTTCTACTCCCCTCATGGAAGCAGCTCAAGAGGGTCATTTAGATCTTGTCAGATTTTTACTTGAAAATGGCGCCAATGTACATGCCCAAACCCAAACAGGAGATACAGCTCTAACCTATGCTTGTGAAAATGGACATACGGATGTAGCAGATCTACTTTTACAATATGGCGCTGATCTAGAGCATGAGTCAGAAGGTGGTAGGACACCACTGATGAAAGCTTGCAGGGCTGGTCATATGTGCACAGTGCAGTTCCTCATTTCAAAAGGGGCAAATGTTAGGTAGGTTCATATTAATTTTTAGTTCAGTCATATAGCCACAGATGTTAGTGTGGTAATTTGAATATTTGCTGAATTTATGATTAAAAAATCTTTGGGAATCTTTATTTTATATAGCCACATATGTTAGTGTGATAATTTGAATATTTGCTGAATTTATGATTGAAAAATCTTTGGAAATCTTTCTTTCATATAGCCACAGATGTTAGTGTGGTAATTTGAATATTTACTGAATTTATGATAAAAAAATCTTTGGAAAAATTTAGTTATTTAGTTATTATATAAATTTGGGATCAGAGGGATTTGAAAAACATTTTAGCTTCTTGTTACTGTAATTTATTAGGTACATCTCAAAATATTTGTAGGTTAAGAAGTTGGTTACATTCATTGAAATCCATAAAACTACATTATATTTATTGAATATTTTTATCTGAGTTATGAGAGATCAAACATTGTGTTGAATTTCAATGGATTTTTTATATGTAACTAAATAAATAATATTGAATGAGTGTAAATAATTTCACTTGTCTTTACACCATTGGGTTATGTCTTTTTTAAATTTTTGAATAAAAAAATCATTGAATTTTCATATTTTTAATTACCCAAACACAACTTCCCAAACAGTATTCTAAAATAAGAATGTCTATATCGATCAATATAGTGACAAATTCATTCAATTTATTTAAAATACATTGGTCACAGCTCAATATTCAAAAACCAACATATATGTGTGTCACATTGAGATTATATTAAAAGGTTGAGGTGAAACAATAAAAATAATCCTTTTTTAAAGTCCTAAAATGTTTTTATCGTGTAGTTGTTTTTATCCAAACTCCTATGAATGTGTGAGAGAGAGAGAGAGAGAAATATTCTTTATCATCTGAAGAACAATAATTCTTATTGACAAAGCGTATCTCAGTAGTTTAAAAAAATTAGACAAATAACAAAACATGAATTGAAAGGGTTATATTTTTAGGAGTGATTAATTTTGGGGAAAGAAAGTTTTTGGCTTTCTACTACTCCATCTGATACAAAACATATTATTAAGAAGATAAAAATGAATAATTTAAAACAATACATATGAAAAACATAAATTAGTCCAAAAATAATAAATTAATGCAGGTACATCATATCAAATGCTACATCAGAACAGAGTAATTACACTAACTCAAGATGACTTTAATATTGCAATTGAATTTGATTTGAAATGTTCCTTTAAAAAAGTCAACAATGCAGTAGTATGGTTTCTTACTGAGTAAAGTTTTCGATGCTTTTTTACAGACTGAACTTTTAATTTTCCTTATCTTCAAATTATTATATATTTTACAACCATTGTATACAAGATAGTCTTTGACAAGATTTGAGGTTGGAATAGGTAATCTAATGTTTTGTACCTGTCAAGTACTATAATTGGATGGCTTCAAAGCTGTTTATGTATTTTCTTATCAGACGTGTAGTTGGAATGTGTGCCAAAATTTGATGAAGCTATTGTTAGTGATTAAATTTCTAAAAAAAAATTAATTTTTTTTTTCATTCACCTAATAACTCATATGTGAAAATATAATTGGAGTTTTAGAAGGTTTCAAGGGTGAATCCAGCCTAACTTCAAAAAAAGTTCTCTTAACTAGATTTTGGTTTGTGAAATGAAATGTTCAAGGAATCCACATATACCTGGTAACAGACAAAATTCTTGATGTCTGTGTGATTAAGAAATATTTTTTTTTATTTCAGGCGACAAACGACTAATAATGATCACACCCCTTTGTCTCTGGCCTGTGCCGGAGGTCACTTACCTGTTGTTGAGTTGTTGTTGAGTCATAACGCTGACCCTAACCACAAGCTAAAAGACAATTCCACCATGCTTATTGAAGCTGCAAAAGGAGGACATACGAACGTTGTACAGTTGCTCCTGGACTACCCCCACTCCATGCAACCCCTGATGTTGAACCAGCATCAACAAGGGGCTACGACGGCTACCAACTTGTCTATGCTTCCAGGGCAAGTTGGTAGCCGAGACTCACCTCTTCCTCCTGGAGCAACAACAATACCCAGCTTGCCACCCCAGCCTGTCAACTTTTTCCAACCCCCTGCAGGTGAGTGCCGTACTTATAATATTAGTAATAATTTCCCTGCATAATCATACATTGTCACCACTTTATATATAATAATATTATCAATTAATTTCCATATGATGGTTACATATAAAACAAGTCATAAAAAACGTGAAATCTAACAGTATGCAATTCCTTTCAATTCAAAATATACGTTATTGTCCCAAGAATGTGTTCTTATTAACAAAGCATTACAGAAAATATAAAAAAAATATACAAGTGGGATACAACATAAAGATTAAATGAATACATGTAAAAGCAATACCATTTCAAAAAAATAAAACGAAGTAATCAATTTGAAAATAAGTAACTATACATGGATGTGTAGATCATGCAAAGAAGCAATTTTCAGACACAAACTGGAAGAAAGCCTGAAACAGCTACTTTCATATAAACATTGAATTACACGAAAGAAAAAAAAATTCTTTTGAAACAAATACTTTTATATGAACACTGAATTGAATTCATCCACATTTTAAATATGCCCTCACAACAAGAAATTATTTTACATCTTCGTTCTGTATATGCCTCAAGTTAATAGAAAGATAATTAAATAACTTCTTACTCTTGAAGATGATCGAATTTTGTGTAAGTGCTAGTGTAGGTGTGGGAAGGCAAATCAGGTGTAATTGACATGTACTATATGTTGAAGTGGTATCAATTTGATTTTAATACTTTTTGTGGATGAGACTCTTTCCAAAATTAAAAGGCCTATCAAGGTCAGAATATTCTGTTCCACAAATAAAGAACTGCATGAATCAAACTATCTAAATATCTAACAATTTGTTTTCGAACATAACCTAGAAATGCCGCTTGTACCCGTAATCAAGCATACAATATTAAAAATACAGTTCTGGAATACAGTACATAAAATCAATAGTTTTTTTTGTACTTACATATATTTTGTATATTAGTGTAGTTGGTTTCTTGAAGAAATATGTAGATAGAGTACATGCGATTATAAAACTTCTGTTGTTTTCACGCTATTAATGTAAATATGTATTGAAAGAAAATTTATTGAATCAGTGGTTTTGACATTAATTCCCGTGTTAGGAATCACATGTTAAAAAGTGACACCAAGTTAGTCCTTAACTCGCACAAGTTTTGACTTTTGAGAGTTGTCCGTAGGGGGGCGACAACTGGTTAAAGGAAAGTCAGATTTTTAAACAGATTCCAGAAAAGTGTTCATTTGTGATGGAGAGAAGGATTGCCAATGTTCAGTAATTAATGAAAGGCTTGAAGAGATATCATATAGTAAATCATCTAATTTTTCAATTTTAGTTGAAGGAGAATAGAAATTTTGAATAATTAGGTTAATTGTGAATGGTATGGAAAAAAGTATCACAATGATTTAATTGAATTTTGGGTTCATTGACAAAAATCAATCATTTGCACTTCAGTTCTCAAGACTGGAGTGTGATATTTGAATCTTTTACCCTGGGTCATCCAAGAATCTTCACCTTTTTCAAAATCAAACTGTTCAAATTGAAAACCGTTGGGCAGAAGGAGCAGTGACATACTCTTTCTTTTACAGACAGGGTCTATCCTTATCATAAATGTATTGTATTCGTACATTACTTATGTATTCAATTTTAATAAGTATACATGAAACTACTCGCCTAAATTAAGTATACTACAGCTGAACCATTATCAGAATAGAATATCTCAAATACCAAAAAATTCCACTGGCTTTGATGATATACCAATGACTCGACCAACTTATCAAGCCTTTACCTTACTCAAAAAGTCTCTGTTCACTGAAATTTTTCCAGTTGTCCAATAACAAAAACTGATACCAAATGTGTTTTTTGTAAATAATCCTTTCTAGTGTTCTTTCATATTACTAAACAAATTAAGTATTATTTATTTGTATGTTAAATTGATAAATCCTTATTAGCATAATTTTTTCTGTTTTTTATTACTAAAAATATGTTAAACACAGGCATGTATTATTTTTTGTATAATTGATAGGAAAGTAAAAATCTGAAAAGGTTTTTTTCCCCTCACAAATTCGTAGGCTTTAAGGCATTCCTGGTTTTATCAATATCTGAAGTAAATGTCAACAAATCTTCAAGCATACTGTTTCTAATGAAAAATTTCAATAGGAAATAGACATTAATTTCCAAATTTTCTAATATGATTATGCTCTGTTAGTTCCTTTATGAAAAATATACACTGATCAATGATCATAGGTGGCTGGAACAGGTTGGCGTAATTGATAGGCACTTGTTTACAATGAAGATGATAATATGTTATTGTTATGAAATAAATCATGGTTATGAAGCATAAGAGATACAATATAGTATATAATGTTAAAATAAGTAACTATACATGGATGTGTAGATCATGCAAAGAAGCAACTTTCAGACACAAACTGGAAGAAAGTCCTTCTGAAACAGCTACTTTCATATAAACATTGATGAAAATAAATTGATATTATTTATACTATTATCAAAATAAATTCGGCGTTTTTTCTTCATCCTCTCGTATACATCTTTAAAACACATTCTTGATGAAATCTATAACTTTTCCTGCATATATCTGAAATTTTCTAAAGTAGCCACTTTTATCAGCCAAGCACTAAACTTCAGAGCCCCTTATGTTTGTTTTTTTTATAGAAAATCTCGCTTTAGGTTACTTCTCCCTTTGAATTTTACCATTGACTATGGCGATGTGTTCAGAAAGAAAAAAACAATTATCAGAATTCATATATCATCGTAAGAATTCATCCTCAATCATTTCCACGAGTCTGAGTGGGAAAGAACTCTTACTCCAATCTATGATTATTTCTGAAAATTTATCATTGTTGGCACTTATTCATATAAAATTTTTAAAGTTGCATGGTGGTACATACAAGAACCACCACGATTGTATAGCAATATTAAATGTGTACTCATCATATTTAGTCTTCAAGGATTTAACAAAAATAATCAATAATTTGTCAGAGTAGAGACCATTTTCTCAATAAAGTCTATCTACAGCATTTGAATATTTATATTATTTGATAAACACTTTCAAAACAGAACCAGCAGAGCTATATCGTTTTAGCAAAATTAATATTTTAACAATAAAAGTTTAATATGAAGCTAAGAAAGCATGTTTGATAGTTTGAAACTTGGCTTCATTCACTCTTGACTACTTGCATTAATAATGTGCGCTCAAATGTCCATATTTCAACTTTTTATCACTACTAGTAATAAAAAGAAGACTGTTCTTAAAATGTGCAGGATGAAGAATAGATTGACAATACTCTTATCTTCATCGTCACATTCTAAGGACAAGGTCTTAACAGTCAAGCTTTTTAATTGTTAAATACTCGAACTTATTATTATATATATAATTGTAGTAGTTCCTTATTGGATGCAAAAAAAATACAATCAATACTTTTTATCTTCCACATGCCTTTTACTCGCCTGACCGAACTTGAGATAATGTAATATTTAATTATTTTTATCATTTGATTATCCACACATTGTCTTTATGTTTGTTGATTGGTGATTTATATTTTGTTTGTTTTATTATTATTATGTTGTCGTTATTACGCTGTTTGTATGTACTCATTGATATATAAAAACAATAGTGGTCATTAGGATGTTGAAAATAAATTCCTTGAAGTCTGTAAAAGCTTTCAAACTGAAAAAATACCCATACGTTATCAACCAAATAGTACCTATTATTATCAAAATATTAGTTTTGCATAAGTGACAGATGTTCGAGAGTTCTTGGACCCTTGGTCCAATCTCTTTTTTATTACAATATATTATAAAATTTACTTAAATTTTTATGCAATAATTATGATATACAAACACCTCAATTCAATTGTGTGTTATAGATATGTTCTTGAAAGAGGAGTCAACTAGTATGGTCAATAACACGAACCTTATTTGCAGGTGCTGTCCTACAGGAAGTCCCTGATGCAGTGAGAATAGTCCAACAGGAGGACGCTAACAATCCCCCGATAGATGTTAATAAACAACAGGTGCAAGCACAGGCGAATCGGACAGCAGAGCCACAGAAGATTTCTGGAAGAAAAACTATTCTGCCGAAAAGTCGATCGGCGGGGGCGGTGTTTGACGGAAACCTCACATCGGCCGAAGCGCAGCAGGTTAGAACGCAACCTCTCGATTTTGAGGAGGAGGTGTTTTCATCCAATGCTGCCATGGATTTTCTCAACAAAGACGAATCAAATAGTACCTTGGTAGGCTTCATTAAGAACAGAAAGAAACAATTGAGCACTGTTCCTGATGAATCGTCTAAGAAGCAACCTGGTTCTGCTGACGATCCATCAAAGAAGCCACCTTTTACCACTCCCGCCGATGATTCAACTAAGAAGCAACAGATTCTTGAGGAAATACAAGTAGGTTTCCTGAAAATTGTCGTTTGAAATTGTTTCAAAACTATTTGTTTCATTAGCGGGCGGATCTGGAGATCCATGGGAAAAGTCAGCCACACAGTCATGTATTCCAATATGGAGTACCTCAGGATCAATGCCCTTCATCTACAAGTAATCCACTACTACCCCCCATGATGAATATCGACCTAGCAATGCAGCAGCATAAACAACAGCAAGGTGCGTAATTTTTAATGAACAAAAACTTTTTCCTTTTTTTTTTTTTGCAACGTTTTCACAAATATCATTTTGATTTTATTTTTAATATCTTTTAAAATTACTTCATAATGAGAAACTCAGTATTATTATCAACCTTTTTGGCTATTTTCACAGATTATACAGATCTGGAAAGGCAAACTTTTAGTTTACCACTATATGTTATTGCATAAATTCGAAATATTTTTCAGAAAGAAAAATAGTCTGTTTATCAGTAACTTGTCATATTTTATAAATTTTAACTGTTAAAAAACTATTTCTAAGATACTTATTATAACTTTTTGGAAATTGAAAATCTGCCTCCGTCTTCATAATTGGGTTTTATTTACCAAAAAATTTTTGAGAGAAAAACACTTTATTTATACAGAGTGATATCAAATTATGCATTACTCAGAAGGAGTTAAAGTAACAATTGCAGCTATTAGGTTGTTTCAAGAGTTTTGTCTGTTTTTATGAGTCTACTATGAACTGTAATATCTTAGAGATTTTTTTTAAGTGGTTGACAATATTTCATGGTGAATTTCATTAGTTCGGACTTCCATTATCTAATATGATATGAAATAATTTGAAATCACTGAAAGAATCAATAAAATTAAAATGAATAGCTGAAAATAACAATTATATTAAGCAAAAAAACTCTGAAATAAAGTACAAGCAACAATTGAAAATTGAACAATAAAAATTAAAAGATTTCAAGCCAAGTTGGTACAGTTGTTTTGAGGCAAGTTGAGAGTTTTAGTTTTCTTTCAACTGAGGTTGAAAAATGAACTCCAGATTTGCAACTTTATTATTATTTAGTTGTTTACTGATATGCAAATGACGAGGAAACCCAACTATTTATTTAGGAATAAAAAAACCTTTTTAGCTGAATAATAACACAGTAATAACCAAGTTTCGACTAAATTAGCTGCTTTCCATACCTTGCGTATAATTGAAAGTTCAAAGGATTACTTTGAAAATGAATTCTTAATGAATCCTTTGTTTGATAACAAAAGCGATGTTATTTTTCATTAAGAAATACACCTAATGAAAAGACCTATCTATACTAGAACTTTAGCACTGTCTTTGTCACGCATTTCACTTACCAAGTTATCATCATTCTTAAGGAGATGATGATCTACTTTGTTATTGGAACCTGCATCACAAGACACTGCTATTGTCCAAAGGTTCTGATTCTGCCTATCAAAATGAAATAGACCCTTACATTTTTTGTACTTTTGAAAGCACTATTATAAAGACTATTCAAAACAATTCAATTTTGGTAGAATAACATCCTAAATAAAATGGATGGACTATTAGCCCAGTAAATTTGTCAAATTCATAATTTTTTTCAGCTAAATTAGGTAAAAAACCTTCTACAGTGAATTATAATCAAAATGAAGCCCAGAATAAGTTTTAGTTAGTTTCAATAACTGGTTTAATTTATTTTTACTAAGCATGCTCTTTGCCCAGCTTTTTATCTTATATGTATATTTTGCATGATTCCCATAATTCCTCCCCACCTGTCCTTTTGTGTCATCCCTATCTATTGGCTAAGGTCTCTGATAGGCTGCCTATATTATTATCAGGGCTGGGTACTGGCATGCTGTCTAGTACGCTCTTTCCTGGACAAAATCTACAAGTCCACAGTGCTTTCTACACAGGGGGCACCACCTGCCTACAGCCGCCTGCTCCCAAACTGTCTGTACCTCCCGCGGACCAGGGTGCTGCGGCAGCGGCTTTCCAGCAGAAGCAAGCACCATATTTCTTTACGCCTTTGCCAACTTCAGTGGCCGTCAGCCTACCCACTGCCAGCACGAATCCAGCCGTGACGACTGTCACTGCCATTGCTCCGAACCAACCCATCAAGTTTCAGAGTGTTACCTCTCATGCAGAAGTCAGTCAGGTAAGGAATATTTTGAGTATTTTGCTTTATCTATGTTAATGAAGATCTCATAAACGGAGACAGGTTTGTATTGGGGATATTTAAAATAAGTCTAGTAACGAAATGGAAAAATTTTGCATAAATTTGAATAGCCCTGTATAAAGGTAACACAGTCATTCTCTCTCGATATTACTAATATGCATCCAATACAATAAACTGGAGATTAATGAGTATATATGGAAATTCCTAGAAAATCACATTCCACAAGGTTATTATCATTTTTTTATGAATATTACTGGAGTTTTTTCCCAACACCAAATCGTTATTTTTAACACCTCGACACGTGTTTCGATCACCAAGTGATCATCTTCAATCATCATCCTCTTGAAGATGATCACTTGGTGATCGAAACAGTGTCGAGGTGTTGAAAATAACGATTTGGTGTTGGGAAAAAACTCCAGTGATATTCATTAATACACCAAAGGTTCCAAACAGTGCATCATAAGTACCTATGTACTGTAACCGAAATAATAAATTTATTCCATTTGGCATTTACACACTGCCTAGGACTGAGTCATGGACAGTGGGAGAAATCGTATCGTTTCTTCACGAGTTTGACTATTCAAGATATGTGTATGCAATTTACTTTTGAACTCCATCAGTAACTGAATACGGTCCTCAATTTGGATGTTTACGGCACGAATAATCTAACAAACTGATAACAGATTTCTACACATCTACTGCACATCTTGAGCAAGGGGCTTCTCATGATCATCTTCAATCATCTTCCTCTTTGAAGATGATCACTTGGTGATCGAAACACGTGTCGAGGTGTTAAAAATAACGATCAGTCATTTTCCTCTTTGAAGATAATCACTTGGTGATTGAAACACGTGTCGAGGTGTTAAAAATAACGATTTGGTGTTGGGAAAAAATTTCAGTAATATTCATTACTATACCAAAGGTTCCAAACAGTGCATCATAAATTTGTTTATGAGTCAGTCAGGGAAGAAGTTGTTTTCTAAATTATACTTCGTGTGAACATTGAGGGGGGTGAATGTTGATGAAGTTTCATACGAAATTGCTTTGATGATTCTTTTAATTTGATTGTGTTTTCAGAAACATAATAGAAATTATTAACTAAAAATATGTTGCTTTTTTGTATGCATGATGAATTTTAGGGAATTTCTTAAACAATTGCAACAAAAAAAATCTGAAGAGAAACTGAAAAAACAAAACGAAGAAAAACAGAACATAAAAAAATGAGCGGAGACCATGAAAGTTGCTAAAGCAACTAGCTCAACATCAGCTTATAAATAAGCTATGAAATGAACAAATATTTTAGAAAGAAATAACCGAAAAAGTTGAACAAGTGGAGATTGATATTAAGGAACGCTGAGATGAAGTACAGACTTTCAGTTGAGAATTAACATCGATATGATCATCACAAGGTAAAATACTGAAGTCTCCAACGTTTCAGAATCAGTTATCATAGGCGATGTACAGTCGGCAATTCATGGTAGCAGCCAATGCCAACGATTGGATGAAGACAGGAAAAAACCACTGCCTCACTTCTAGCACTGTGAGGTCAAGCACTGAAAATTCTATATATGAGCAACATTCAACAGAGTTGTCATAATGATTACCATGGAATGGTGAAAGCTCTGGAAATGAAATATGGATAACAGTACTTGGAAAATATGGAAAATAGGGCAGATATCACAAGACTAATTGATTTGACCTACCTCTAAGTCACAAAAGAATTTGTAGATCAAATAGTGTAGACCTTCATCAGTGGGTTAAAATTGATTCTGGAAAAATGGAAATGAAGTTGAGAAGGGTATTTTTAAAGAAGAAAATCGGCAAGTTCATACGAATTATATATAAATTGAGGGGGTCTTATGGAAAAATATGATTTTCCATGAAGAAGCCTGTAACAACTGTGAAAAGCTAGGGCACCAATAGATGGAGTGTCTAAAATAACCGAGATTTCACATTATTTGCTGAAGGAATCAATTCAAGGAGAGGAACAAAGTGCTTCTAGATTAGAACAAAGCAGGATAAATGACAGATTAGAGGCGAGATGTAAAATACCAAACCGAGATTAAATACATATTTCCAACGCTGGAGAGAAGGCGCAGTCGCCAATGCTTAGGTTAAGATACAGCACCAGAGAGCGGGCACAGATCACCAACTCCGGAAAGAAAATGAAGCCCTTCAATGCCAGATAGACAGCAAGAAGTATATTTATTGCTGAAGAGGTAAAAAACATATTTATGCAATTATGAAAGAAGAAGAAATTCAGTAGTAACGAACGAATATGTGACGCAACTGCAAAATTGGTTTAAGATTAGCAGGAAGATTATAAACATTTGCCAAGGTTTACTGGACTCAGTGGGATTATTCCTCCACGATAACATCACAGCTAAGAGCACACAGATATGTACTGGACCAACTCTACATTAAATGAGCAAGAGGGTACTTTCCATCAACAGGTCCGTAAATTCTCGTAAAAACACCTACAGATCACAGTGACTGAAAGAAGAGAATTGAGTAGAAAGCCAATGAGGAGATGCTATATGGTTATATGTTTTCAGGAAAACAATGGACCAAGAAGAATGAAAAGGACTTAGTCTATCGTAAACTGCTGGTCGTTAACGTCCTAACACTCCCCTTGATGATCCTTTGAGATGGATTAAGTTATCTGGGAGGGAAGTATAACAACATAGCGTGAATGATAAGCAGTTCGAATAAGAATGTGAATTAATTTGAGTACAGAAAATGCCACAGTGAAATAAGTGAAGTAATTATGAAGTGTAAAGTATGGTGTTCAGCTTCAATGAGATTTATTAAATAAATAAAGTTATTAAATTTGGCTAAGCATACCACTTAATAGTTCAGTAAAAAACTCCTGTATAGGTGTAACATTGGTGATGGTCATTGTAATAATGAATGTCTGGTATCTATACATTTAGTGAGATTTAGATAATTTTTTTAGAATACGGCAATAAGTGATAGACCTAAAGCCAAACCTGTCTCGAAAAAGGAGGGTAAAAACATCCGGAAGCAACAGCAGCAAACTATGTTACCCCAACAGTCTCTTCCACAACAATCTGTCCTGCAACAACCACCACAATCTCAAGCCTTTCAACCAAATCTCTATGGTCAACAACCGTCACAGATCTTTGGGCAATTACAATTGCAGCCTCCTCAGCAAATGCAGATGCAAACGTTTCCACAGCAGGAGACCAAAACGATAATGCAGCAGGAAATTTTGAATGTACAAGGTTAGTCATTTTGTCGAGGACTTCGGAAAGTGTTAATAATAAAAAACAGAACGATTTCCAGGTTTGGATTTGACAGCAATTGATGACGACCATGTTCTACTTACAAGCGAAAACCACGAGAATCTTTTGACAGCTTCTATTTTACAGCAGTTCCACAGTAATCCCACCCCTTTACTGCGAGCTGCCTTTTCTGGTTCGCCTGTGAGTAAAAAAAAATCATTAATTATTAGAGTTGAGATATATCGAGATGTTTTTTTTTTTAGCATAAATCACGATTAGATCTTTATGACCACACTGAGGGTAGTTGTAAAATAACGGAACTTACCGACAAAGATTTCTCTTCAGTGGACGATGTTGTTCAAACACTCGAATCTTTCAATGCAACTGAAATCAGTGAACAAAGCCTTTCGCAACATAACTTACAGGTGAGGAATCTAACTTAAAATCATTACTCTTTTGATGAGCATGCTGGAGAAGCAGATTTCCTAATTCTACCTTTCATAAACTTTTCAGAAAATAATTTTTCCCACAAGAAGTGGAAATCTAGCATATACAGCAGTAGCTATTAGGCTAATTTAAAGTTTTCTTTTTTTTCTCGTAAAATCTGTTCAGATGGTAACTAAATGGGTTCTATAGCTTCTACTTCTCCTGAATTATGTGAGACCTAGCACAATGATAATATACTGTCCATGTACTCTGCTCTTGTCTCTAAGCACTACTTTATAGTTTACATTTAATAATTTAATGTCCCATATACACGTTTAACTTTACTAGACTTTGCCAATAAGATGTTCAGATCTTGGGTAATAAAGCATATTTTGATTTGATTTGATAATGAAAATTTGATTCACAATACATAAGAACGTATAAATTCACATCAATTGATAAAATAGATAGTAATAAAAATAACTTGAAAGAAGTGGGTAGGCGATAAGTATAAGAATACTTGTTTCGAAATAATAAGAATGTTCGAATTTCGCGAGCTTCGCACATTCGATTAGCATTTTAAATTTTTATTTATGTTGATTCATTCATCCCAAACATTTTCACAGTTTTGGCATGTTTAGTAGTGTTGGTGAGAGGTATACAAGTTAGAAATGTTTTGCGTGTTACGAGATTTTCTGCTATCTGGATTTGTATACCAGCTCTGTTTTTCCATTAATCAGCTGTCGCCCTCATAGGAACGACACTCCCAGAAGTTGAGGAACTTATGCGAGCTAAGGACTAACGAGGTTTTACCTTTTAACGTGTGATTCCTAAGGCTTATGCCATGCAATTTTTTCGGAAATTTTTGGCATGAAGCACGTGTCAGTGATGGTCATTTCTTAATTGCTGAATTTTCACCAAAAAAAACCGTCGCATTAGCTTCGCTCAGAAATTTTTGAATGACATCAACGGCGATCCAGTTATGAGATCGAAACCAAAGTCCAATCATCCCAATGAAAGATCGTGGTGTAGTGGAGTAATAAGGAGTATTATCTTGAAGTTATGATTTGCAAGAAGCAATACGAAGAAAACGTCTGGTATTGTGGAAAAACAATTCATGGCTTTTGCATCACGATGGTACACCTGCTGACTCGTCATTTCTTGTTCATAATTTTTTGGCCGAAAACAACACCGTAATCATGCCTCAGCCACCGTGTATTCACCAGATTTGCCCCCCTGCGACTGTTTCCTGTTTGAAAGGAAATTGATGAGCAAATCAATATTTTTTGAGAAAAATGAAAATTCACTCTACTTTTTGAACAGAGTATATACATAGAAATGCATATACGAACACACGCAGTCATTTACCGTCAGTCACCTGCAGATATACTAAATAATGATGGCGATTTAATAGTTTTCATTCCTGGTATAACAATTCTCCCAAAAAAATACATGTTTATAATAGGGGAAAAAATAATAATTCAAAACTATAACATAATTAAGTATGAACAGAGCGACAAAAAAAAGATAAATCAGAACTGTAAGGATTGAGATCTTTGTGAGATTGACTTTTTCAGTATAACTGGGTAGGTTCATTGTTCGCAGTGACGTGTATAGTATGAGTGATCACAAGATTTTACTTTGTTTGAACTAAAGTGATATTTCACAATTGCACTAAAAAAATAACTGTTGCAAATCCAAGGCTCTACACTGATTACATAAACGCTCTGTTGAAAATCAATGACTTGATATTATTAATTTGAGGAATCTTGTTTCTAGAGATTTCAAATGTATATGTGAAGCTACTCCGCAACCAGCTGTTTCATATCGTAAATGACTTTCAACGAGAGCAGAATATGAAAGGAACACGAAATCTATTGGAAGCATTTTTATCATATATCAATATATACGCCTCAATATGCCGTTTGCTCAACAGATTGAATTGTTAGTGTATGGTTTTGTGTAGTCAGAACATTGTGGTTTTCATAAGGATAGGCATAGATATTTCCATAGTGAAAAATGACATTTGAATTATACAAAGGATTGTTAAATGATGATTCTCTCATCATTACGAATCTAGTAGTTTTTCTTTACGAGTCTGTGAATTGCATCTTCAAAATATTGTTACCAACCAGGACTATATTCCATAACCCTGATACTAATTGATCATCATCACTGCTCGCAGGGTAGAATTTTTCTAAATTCTGAAGTCATTCACAACATCCATACATGTATTGGTGTTACAGATCTCACACACATTCATGCGTAGTACTGCATTTCGATTATTGTGGTCACCTGCATGCAATTTCGGTTTTTCATTCTCGACATAACTGCAGTCGATTGCTCTCATAATCATTGAAAATTCAATTTTCTCTGCCATGTCACTATCTCTTCCATTTGGCCTCTCTTGACATTCCGGAAAAATTATACAGTGATCTGCCTTTTCAACAATTTTCTCAACAACCCGCCGTATGGAGCTCAATACCTATACCTTCTTCAATACCCTCTTTGAAATCCTCAATCAACCGAATATTGCAGACAAAATTTCACTTGATAGATTGGCAACAAAGCATGACATTCTTTATTTCTGTCAAACGAACAATTCAAAAGCATTTCACATTTTTTTCATTGATTTTATTGATTTAATAAACTTATATTACTTCACTTTTTGATTCTACATATTAATCGCCACAACACCTGACAGTTGGGTTTCAGATCATTTGGTCGTTAGGGCCCCGACACTAACACGCTACGCCTTAGTACTAGCGTATCATTGAAGAAAATAATACAAATTTGTGGAAAATACATTTTTATTTCAATCAAATTATACAGAATAATTATCATAATAAAGAAATATGACAAACAATACTCAAAACAACTCGTTGCGAGTTTGAAACCTTCCTAAAAACTGCAGATCCAGAAGGAACTCCTTCCATTTAGACGGAATATTCATACACCTCAAATTATTTCTCAAATTCAGTTTCTCTTCCTTTGAAGGAAAAGGTATTTCTTCACATTTTATTATTCATACCATCAAGAAATTTCTTCATGTTTTGCAAGAAAAAGGTAGTCCTTTTTATTAATTTCGCCTGTTGTTGAATATAAGACTTTACAACATTGTAATGAAAGATGTATTGAAATGAATAAATGAATAACCAAGTGATATATTTATATTTTAGGTTCAACCATATCCCAGTGCTTTAGATGAATCAATGATTGCATCTTTAGCAGCCCAACAAGACCTAACGCCCCAAACTGATCTATCCCGGGTAGAATATTTTGCAGTACCTACAAATGGTTCCCAAGTTCCTGTACATGCCTTGTATCCATATGACTACCTCGGTGCTGCAGCACTGCCAAAAGAACAACTCTTTCAAGCTGGATTCCAAGCTGGCTACAGTCTTATGCAACATCAGATGGGTTAGTTTGAAACATATTCTTATTTAAGTTCTTTCTCTTAAGATTTCCTGAAGTTGTAGGTGTTCCCAATGCAAGTGTAAGCGAGACCATGACCACCACCTCAGTAGTTCCCACCACTGTCGGGGCTTTGCCGGGTACTTCAACTCAGCAATACATTACACCCCAACAGCAGCAGCAGCAAATACAACAGCAGCAGCAAATACAACAGCAGCAGCAGCAGCAAATACAACAGCAACAGCAGCAGCAAATACAACAGCAACAGCAGCAGCAAATACAACAGCAACAGCAGCAGCAAATACAGCAGCAGCAGCAGCAAATACAACAACAACAGCAAATGCAGCAGCAGCAGCAAATGCAGCAGCAGCAGCAAATACAGCAGCAGCAGCAAATGCAGCAGCAGCAGCAAATACAGCAGCAGCAGCAAATACACCAGCAGCAGCAGCAAATGCAGCAGCAGCAACAAATACAACAACAGCAACAAATGCAACAGCAGCAACAACAACAGCTGCAACAGCAGCAACAACAAGCAGTATGTGCTCCATCTCAGACCTCTTGTAGTCACGTAGCTACATCTGTTCCTTTACAACAGCCCCACCATTGTCCTTTGCCCTGTAGTCAACATCAACAAATGCCGCAAAGTCCCCACCAGCAAACTTCTAATCAAGTACAGGCGGCCACCCAAACCGCACAGTCTGCTCAGGCTGTTTCAAACGACGCAAAGAAAGTCGCCAAAACCAATGGTGAAGGTATGAAATTCAAAAAGGGCAGAGTATTACGACATCAAAACCAGGTGCAACCCGGAGGCAGCTTTCCACCAGGTCAGAATTATCAAATAGATCATAATTCAGGTAAGTGATACATTTAGTTTTTATTGTTTTATTTTGAACACCCCTAACAGGCTAACACCTAACTATAACCAAATCTACTGGTGACAACTGATAATTTTACAATGAGATTGTATGAAGTACTATGTAGGAAGCATAAATATTGTTATATCTACCATACATTACTATGATTTTTATGATGAAGTAGAGAAAGAATATTTGATAATGAATACACTTTGAATGAATTTTCGTAAGTGAATAAAGATCAGCTTACAAAATTAGTTTTTCTATCAAAGATAAAAAAGCCCAGATGAAATAACTGTTGGATTCTCAAAAAATTGTTTCTACCATATTTCAGATCTTTTTTTAATATCTTAAGTACATCTCTTCAAAATAATGTTTTTCCAGGATAGTTAAAATCTCGATAATAGTACCTGTCCCCAAAGTACAGAAATTTCAAAAAGCATCAATTCTCCGACATATTAATGTACTCAGCTAGTGTCCGACCGAAAGTTTGGTTTCGGTCGAGTTTCGACAAAAAAACGGGTTTTGGTTTCGGCGGCAAACCTGCCTGATTGTTATAACGTTTTCTTTATTTTTCCCTCAAAACATAATCCTTGTAAGGACGTTTCGGTTTCGGCCGAAACTGAGACCGTTGCCGAAATTCGTTTTCGGTTGGAAAAATCAGTTTCGGTCGGACAATATACTCTGCACAATAGAAAAAACTTAAAAAACATAAAGCGCAACTGTGAAACAGACGTACAGTGTATTCTAGATGATTGGATTGTTTGGGGCAGGTATTGGAAAGAGATAACAGGGGCAGTTCTGGATTTATGAAGAGCTTTCTAAATTGAATCACAAGAGGTTATTTAGAAAATTTTATAGTTTTGGTATTGTAGGTGATGATTATTATGGATAACGAGTTTTTTGGATAACAGAAACTGGAACTCAATATTGTACAGATTGCTACAAATTGTTCATTAATTAATTTGCAGATCTATTTGTCTCTATCTAATCTACATACACCAAGTGGTGACTGAACAGATCCATCAGATCTGATATCCTTATCCCTATTTTCCAAACTTACATGATTATATGAAAATATGATTCCAAATAAAATCATAAATTTTTATCAATTCAAAATCTACAGATGAAATGTATCATATAGTAGTAGTTAGGTATGATTCATTTCTAAGGAGATGTTCGAAATACACTTCTCTCCAGGTATAAGAGTATACACTGATTCTTTGAGCTTACATCTGTTAGAGTAGGGTTCATTGGCAATCACTCTCATCTTGTTCCATTCAACTCGGTATTCACTGTCTGATTTCCAAATGTGTTCTGACAATTGTGATCCTGTTGATTGTCTGTTTCTTATGTAGTCTCGAATTATTAACTTTTTTCAGATTTTGGAAAGTGAAAATACCCAAAGAAGGTCAATAAAAAATGAAATGAAATTGAAAAAATACATCTGAAATTAATATCTGCTAATTTGAAAATATTAGATCACTTCTTTTCTTGTAATATTTATTGCTATCCATCCATTGATATCTTTTTAAATCAAAATTGAAGCATATTCATTAACAGAAGCTCCTTTCATCTTATCAACAAAATCTGTCATATTGGTTTATTTTATTAAAAAATTGACAACTGATGATTAAAACATCTGAAAAAGCAAACTTCAGCTATAATCAGTGTATGAAAATATATGAAAATCTTATCATCCAGTTCCTGAAGATTATATGAATGATAATGAAAAAAAAATTGATAATTATTCATAGTTTTTGACTTATAATTATATAATATAATTATATATAAATACAATTATCTTAATAAATAAAATCGTATCTAAATAGAAGCAGACTAATGTTAACTAACTTGAAGCAATACTAAAATGGTAGATATTAAACTGAAGTATGTTTTGTTTACATTTCACTGAGGCGTGTATATTTGAAATACTTTTTTTTTTTTTAGCAATCACTCAGTACAGTGCTAGTCAACAGCAGTGTCCAAGTGCGGTGATTTCTCCATGCATGGATGTGGACTCAGAAACAGAGAGCAATCACGATACGGCTCTCACCCTTGCATGTGCAGGTGGTCACGAAGAACTAGTTGAATTGTTAATCAGTAGGGGCGCCGATATAGAGCATAGGGATAAAAAAGGCTTTACACCTCTTATCTTAGCAGCGACGGCAGGTCACGAAAAGGTGGTGGAAATACTTTTGAATCACAATGCTGATATCGAAGCACAATCTGAACGAACCAAAGACACCCCTCTGAGTTTAGCATGTTCCGGAGGGCGTTATGAAGTAGTTGAATTGTTGCTGAATAGAAATGCCAACAAGGAGCATAGGAATGTTTCTGATTACACTCCACTGAGTCTAGCAGCTTCAGGTGGTTACGTCAATATCATTAAGCTTCTTTTGAGTCATGGGGCCGAAATTAATTCTCGAACTGGTTCTAAATTAGGTATTTCTCCGCTTATGTTGGCTGCGATGAATGGGCACACTGCAGCTGTAAAACTACTGTTAGACATGGGAAGTGATATTAATGCTCAGATTGAGACGAACCGGAATACAGCTTTAACTTTAGCCTGCTTTCAAGGGAGGCATGAGGTTGTTAGTCTTCTTCTCGATAGGAAAGCCAATGTCGAACACAGAGCGAAGGTAAAGTCAAAGTAAAACTGGATCTGAATGGAACTATGAAGTTCGGTAAACTTGAAAGATTTTTCATTCATTCATTCAAGAAATGTTTGGTTGCCAAGAAAAATTTTTCTATTTATATAGAAAAAAAAAGTTCAGATTCAAAAATTATTTTCTTTTGTTTTGAGCCTCATAGAACCATTACTAGAATTTCAATGTTACAAATAGCCCTAATTTCCGAATCTATTTGAATATTTTCAAATCTTATTATTTCTTCAGACTGGACTTACACCCCTCATGGAAGCTGCAAGTGGAGGTTATGTAGATGTAGGAAGAGTACTTCTTGATAAAGGAGCTGACGTTAATGCTATTCCTGTTCCTTCTTCCCGGGACACTGCACTCACCATAGCTGCTGATAAGGGTCATGTTCGATTTGTGGAGTTATTGCTTTGTCGGGGAGCTCAAGTGGAGGTTAAAAACAAGAAAGGAAATTCTCCCTTATGGTTAGCTGCCAACGGAGGTCACCAACCAGTTGTTGAACTACTCTATAATGTTAACGCAGATATAGATTCTCAAGATAACAGAAAAGTGTCCTGTCTAATGGCTGCTTTCAGAAAAGGCCACGTGAAAGTAGTCAAATGGATGGTCCATCATGTGACCCAATTCCCTAGTGATCAAGAAATGATGAGGTACAACTCGACAGTCAGTGATAAGGAACTTTTAGAGAAATGTCATGAGTGTGTGAAAATAATTCGAGCTGCTAAAGAAACCCAAGCAGCCAAAGCAAACAAAAACGCATCTATTCTTCTAGAAGAACTCGAATCAGAAAAGACACGCGAGGAATCGAAAAGATTAGCCGCAGCCAGGCGCCGTGAAAGAAAAAAGAAGAAGAAGTTAGAGAAGAAGGAGGAAAGAAGAAAATTATTGGAAGAAAACAAAAAGAATGAGAATTACGATGAAAATCAAGATAAAGAGGAAGAGAATACTGAGGAAGAGAAACCTGAAGAGGAAGAAAATGTTCCCGAGGTTAACCCAGCGAATCGGAACCCTGAAGCAAATGACAAAGAAGAAGGTGATAGTGGAATCGATGCAAATAGTCAAGGTAGTTGTTCGAGCGCTGACCTAAAATCTAAGGACAAGCGCAAGGATAAGAAGAAAAAGAAAGGTGCATCAAAAAGTATTGAATCCCACATCCGTTCAAAAGCAAGCTCTAGCAAAGCATCCGATCAAGATTCACCTGACAAAAACGATAAAAACGTTGATGGTAGAAACAAACAAAATCTGAATGTTCGAAAAGGACTTGTGTTTACGCAAACAAAATCACCCGCAGAACGTGACGATTTTGAGGCCACTGGCAATGAGGTTTATGTTTCCAGCAAGAAATCTAAACCAAGTTATGAAGAAGTTCAACCTCAACCTTCAAAAAGTTCCACCAGTCCTAAACAATCCAGCAAACGTGAGGAGGGTTGGAAGGAAGTAGTAAGGAAATCATCTGTTCAGACTTTGACTGCAACAGAGTCTGGAATCAAAAAGGTATCTGTACCTCTGAATGCTATTTCTAGAGTCATCGGAAGAGGAGGTAGCAATATAAATGCCATCAGAGGTGCAACTGGTGCTCATATTGAAGTGGAGAAACAAAGCAAGGGCCAAGGAGAAAGAATAATCACCATCAAGTAAGTTCAAGTTATGTGGAAGATACGGTGAATAAAATCTTTTTTTGGTTTTTCAGGGGTTCTACTGAAGCTACCAAGCAAGCTCATATTCTCATTGCTGCACTCATAAAAGATCCAGAAGTGGATATTTTGTCAATGTTGCCGAAAACCAATAAAACGGTTTCCAGCTCAACAACATTATGGGACAAAACACAAATTGGAGTAAGTATTGGAATAATATTTTGATGTAATTATAATGAAGGTCAGATCAAACTGGAGCATGAAAAATAATCCAATAAGAGACAGTACTATTTAGGGCTAAAAAAATCCTTTCTGTTCGAATCACTGTATCACACAGTGGTGGATTGAGTGAGTGAAGCAAACCACTCACGTCAACCCACCAGGCTACCATTCCACCATCATTTGTGATGGTGGAATCAACTCAACTTCTTGATGCTAAATGTCAACTGAAGCTTACCACAATGCATTAGTGAAAACCACTCTCAAGTCATATTAGTCGAATTTGAGGTTAGTGTGTACAACCACACAGATGAATACTCTAAGAGTAATTGTTTTGGGTTTTATTGCCTTAATAAAGACCCTCGATAATAGTTTTTAGTGAACACCACACCAAAATTAGTTGAATTATTTTTGAGATAACCCCCACAAACGCACTGACGAACAGACAAGAGTTAGTTACACATTCATTATAGATATTCAGAATCAGAATCATTTATTCATCACAAAAGAATACACATTGTGTGGTAAAACTACAGAATATGTAACTTATCGGACTAGTCAAAAAAAGATATTATCTTTATGACTACCATTGGACTTATCTCATGTCATGTAAATGATTTTGGAGATTAATAAAATTATCTATATAATAATGTGACTTCCATCTTGAGGACTTCAGTTTTCAGGTTTTCCTAGCAAAAATTTTCATGTATTTGCCTGTCTCTGCCGAAACCTTGAGACCAAATCCTTATTTCCTTTTCATTAATTTTGATGTTGAAATTGAATGTTCAATTTGTTTTCAGACAAAGAAGAATGCTGGTAAGATTGCTGTGGTAACTCAGAGCATAGCATCATCAACTAGTGCTCATCCAAAAGTCACCCAAACTTCGGCGCCAACTGTAGTTTCGACGAGTAGGTTCACCGCCAGTTCGGCAATGAAGGTTCGTGGTACTGCCCCCGTTTCGACTACTAGGGTGACAGCTCCACGGTTAGTAGCCCAAGCAGAAAAGAATGCAGCAGCCCAGGCGCAAAACCAAGCTTTGCGTCTACCTGTATCTCATCCTTCATCAGTATCGCTTAGGATTCCTCCTCCAAACAAAGTCATCACATCTAGCGTGAACCAGACATTTGCTGCAAAATTGACGGAAACCTCGTCTAGCCAACCGACTGTCAATACGAATACCAGCATCACAACAAGTAAGCCCAGAACTCTCGCATTGCCTCAAACATCAGTGGGTCCTGTTTCGCCCCAGTTGCCGCCAACAACTACTGCCAACACCCAATCTTCACCAAACAGAAATGCTCGACCCATTCCTACTGCTTCTGCACCTCCCAACATGCAACACTCTCAGAGTCCTGGTAAAATGCTACCTATGTTTGGATCTGCTCCTCTGCCTACTCAAGGAAATGTTACTGTCCCAGTTTCTGAATCAAGTGTTACCAACTTGAGAAGTTCCACCCCGAGTTTGTTACAAGGTACCACTATTCCACAAAAACCTCCAGTCGAAGAGAAAATAGTTCCAACACCGGAATATTCTCTGTTTTTCACTGGAGATCACTGGAATCGGCGGGAACCGGAATCTCAGAAACCGGTTAATTTTGCAGCTGTCACCGGCGGATCCACCTCACAATCGGTTCCTCAGCACAAATTCATAAACCAAGAGCCACCTCCACAGGTTGATGCTGCGAAAGCACCTGGTTACAGAGGTGGAGCAGTCTGTTCCCCAGTTTCATCGAAGACCAGCAGCAACAGTACCACACCACCAAATAATTCGGGCAATACCCCGTTCCAAAACTACCAAGAACAGAATAAAAGTCAGGTCACACTGCCACCCATAGGTAGTAATGTAGTACATAATAGACCTCCAGTTTCTCAGAGTAATCCCGACTTTTTTGTGGACATGTTTAAATCTAGTGCCAGCAACATTCCAAACATGCTCAACGTATGCAGCGACCCTAACCTTCTACAAGGGTGTTTCAATCCGATCCCGAGTTTGAGTTTTTCCCAGCCACAGCAGCAACAGCAACAACCCCAACAGAGCACTAGCCTGTCTAGGTTGAATCCCAAAGCTCCAGAATACTCTAGTTATGGTATACAAAGCAAGCCGTCACCACACATGTTTAATGGTTATCAAATGAGCAATCAGAACAATATGTTCATGTCGAAACAACAAAGCAGCATGGATAATTTCCATAGACCTGGCTTAGGCTCTACCCAAAATCGCCTCTGGATGCAACCACCGTTCACTCCGCAGTCTGATCCACTGATAAACAACATAGCTGGTATGACTATACATAACATCGCCAAGTTCACTGGAAATGAAGTATTGGATAATTCAGGGGAAATAGGGTTGGTCAATAATTCACCCAATATGTCGCCGAATTTATCAAGTGCACACAGCTTCCACCAGGATAATGTGTATGGTGTGGAGGAGAGGAAACCTCCCCAGCCTATAGGTACTGGTAGAAAAATTTTCAGTAATCAATTGGAAAATTGGAGGTTGAACGATAAAGCTGATAAATGGTCGCTTGGAGGTAACACTGAATTCACCATGCTTCGTAATCCTCAGATTTACGGAGAGGATTTACAGCCAATGGATTATTCGGTGAGTGATATCACATGTACATATTCTAACAAATGTCCAGATACTACATCCTCAAATGAAACTGAATATTTAAAGTTGCTGAAAATAAAGAAATAAATTTTTAATCTTCATAAAGTATTTTCTCCTAAAATCCAAAGGAAAAATACATAATCTTTTTAATAATATAATTTTGGTCTATTTTGAAATGATGAAATATGTTTTTCCATTACCTAGTGTCTTTCTTTTACAGATGAAGACTGAAGTCAATTGTCCAATTTTTTTTTAACAATGATATAAAAATTACGTCTTGTACAGTTATTTACAATGACTTGAGAGAAGAATAAGACAATTTATTAGTAGATCAACCTAGTATACTGTAATGTATTCTTCCCTAATTTGGAGGTGACGTCATTACTCGAAACTAAATACAGTTGTTTCTGTTTTCACATTTGTTTTACAACTCTCATACATAAAACAATATGTAGCTCTTTGAGCCTTCAATACATAAAAAATATCTATATTTAAAAACTAAAACTATTCATTTTTAACTTACATGATGATTCACACTGATATTCTACATTTCCCCCTTTGAATAAACAAGAATAATATATTTGAAAGCCTTAAATGCTATGCATAGTTGAGTTGATCCATGGCTTTAATATTTCTTTTAGGTCTTGTTGGTATAGCTTCATTAGCCGAAGTAGTGGAAAAGTCATTTGAATAATTTTTTACATTTTCTGAGCTATTGACTGGAGATGGCAACTCAGAATCTCTCACATGAAACGTTTTAATCTGGTTCAAATGTCTTTTCCACTCAATGTTACCCAATTCTGGAATTTTTACTACATAAATAACATATGCAATTTTTTTCACTATGATTGCTCTGATCTATTCAACAGCACCTTTCTTCCTGTAATCATGAACAGTCACTATTTATTGGACTTAAATTCACTCTATGAACTTAAAATCAGCTGCATCATTCATTCTGTTCAATGAAATCGAATTCAAATTTTATTCAAATTTTGACATATATTATGCCACAAGACAAACCAATTTAAAATACAAAAAAAAATTGAGAAAAGTCGATATATCACGATGGGATTTATATAGTCGCCAAGCGAGCAGGGTTTGCTAGCAGCTGAACTTAATAAATTAAAAAAAAAGCGAAATAATCGATCTCATAGTGACGAGAGTTTTACCAGATAGTTATTCTGAAAATATTATTTTACAAAATCTTTTTGTTAACCTATCGAGTGGTATTAACTCAAGTGAAAACTCAGACTTTGATAATGATTCATCCGTGCGTTATTCGAAATCGGAATGCCTCTTTACCGCGAGTAAACTTCAACAAGTCGATCGCGAAGTGAATCTATTAGAAAAACTCTCCGAACAGATGACTAAAAGACTACATGAACAAGAAGAAATTATTTTCCTACTGAAAAAGCAAATAGTCGATTATAATCATTTTGCCAACAATCATACCATCAATGCTCCTATTGAATCGGACAAAAAAATGCGCAAACCAAGCATCAACTCGGAACAAAAACAAAGTGCTTCTTTTCTACCCGAGCTATATCCAAAGTCCGATATCCAAAAAAACTCTGCAAAAAAAGTCAAGGCCAATGACCGAGTTCTCCAGTCATCCGCTAATAAACCAGGTAATAATCCCAAAATTCTAATTACTGGATCTAATAAGAAACCTAACATGGTGATACAAGGCGTTCCAAATGAAGCTGAGTTGGAATGACTTTATGTTGGAAAAATCAAAGGACTGGTTGATAATGAAGTGATGCAGTCTTTTCTGAAGGAATCATTTCCTGTTCAAAATATCAAGTGTTACAAGTTGAACACCAAAGGGAAAAACAGTGCGTTCAAATTGGGTATTTCCAAATCGTGTAAGCAGTTACTGTTGAAGAGTGATAGGTGGCCGGAAAACGTCGTGGTAAAAGAATTTTAGTTTTTTTCGTGAAAACTCTCTCATTTCTCATGAACCAATTCAAAAATCGCCGTTTTTTGTAATCTTCCATCTGAACATTCATAGTTTAAGAAACAAAATAAGTGAACTTGATTCCTTATTAAAGTCTCTTGAATATCCGGATGTAGTTTGTTTAACAGAAACTTGGTGTCAAGAAAATGAAATATTAGCTGGCAATGTCAATTGTTATACTCTTTTCGATTATTTTTTCCGTAACGATAAAGTTGGTGGAGGGGTAGCTATCTTTGTTAAAAATATTCACGATTACAGTCTTACACACTACCGTCGAAAAATCTCAGGGTACGTTTGAATATGCTGCTGTCGAAATAACCGCTCACAACTCCAAAAATGTTCAAAACTGTATCGTTTGTGGTGATTTTAATTTCAACTTCCATAAGAATTCCACTGATGGCAATGCAAGTTATCTGCGTAATTTATTTGCCTCTTACGGATTGAATCAATGCATTTTCGATTACACAAGAATACAGGACAATAGCATGTCTAAGGTGGACAATATTTTTTCCTCTACATCCAATATCTCTAATACCACCGTCAGTCGCATAGATTTCTCGGATCATGCACTTCAATATATAGTTTTACCAATCACCTCTCCTACTGTAAAGATAACCAATTATTTTCTTAAAAGATCCTTCTGTGATCAAAACATTCACTTTTTGAATGCTTTATTGGCTCGTGAGGATTGGCTATCTATATACTTCAGCAACGGTAATGCTGATGAAAAATTCTCAATTTTTTATGACTCATTTCTCAACCTATTCGATAAAGCCTTTCCTCAGGAATTACATCAAACCAATACATATAAAAAATCTAATAACAATAAACCTTGGATAACTAAGGAGATCGTTAATGAAGGAAAATTACTCAGAGATATTTTTCACATCAGTAAAATCCAATCTGATGAAATCATTAACCAACAATATAAATTACTTTTGAAACAGCATCGACAAAAGATAGAAACAGATTGAAACTTTAAAGAAGTCTTACTTCGGCCACAAATTTCTTGAAGCCACAAATAAATCTAAGGTTGCCTGGACTATAATCAAACAGAATACGGCATATGATAAAAAAAGCAAATTCTTGCCAAAATATGTTATTGATGAAAATAAATTATCTGTAAACGAGGGTGTTGATATCTCCCAAACATTCAGCGATTACTTCTTGAATTCTGTCCAAAAATTAGTCAAAGAAACATCTATTTTAGTAAATAACTGTGACATCAACTCCAACTCACTTTATTTATATCCTCTGGATGAAACTGAACTACTCGAGATAGTGAAGTTGATATCTTCTAAGACTTCCAGTGGCGTGGATGAAGTTCCTTGCAACCTCTTGTTCAAGGTGGTTGAAAATTTTATCGAACCCCTCTTATACCTCATTAATATCTCCTTAGTCGAAGGTATATTCCCTACTCGACTCAAACATGCAATAATAGTGCCTATCCATAAGAAAAATGACACGCACTCGGTTTCCAATTACAGAGGAATTGTGTTACTATCTGCATTTTCCAAAATATTCGAGAAAACTTATCAAAGAAGACTACTTTCTTTTTGTAAGAAGTATAAAATCATCCCAGACTGTCAATATGGCTTCCAAATTGGCAAGTCCACTCAGGATGCTACGATGAATTTAGTCAATGAAGTCATTTCTAATCTCGATAGAGGTCAAAAAACGATGACTGTTCTATTCGACTTTTTACGAGCTTTCGACACTGTTGATCACGATTTACTTTTGTGCAAGCTGTTTTGTCTAGGAATTCGTGGCTCATCTCTGGATTGGTTGAGATCTTATCTGGATTGCAGAACGCAAACTGTGACGGTTAAACTGGAGGCTGGCACCTTCCACTCTAGAACCTGTGTCGTTCCCACCAGTGTTCCCCAGGGTAGCGTCCTAGGACCTATTCTCTTTCTTTTATTCTTACATGACCTCAACAACAGTAATCGTCAACATTGTACAGTGCAATTTGTCGATGATTCTCCGTTCACTCTGAAGTATTCAGATTATGAGGGATTGTCGAGTCAGGCCAATCAAGCAGTTGCTAATATGCAAAAATATTGTTCTCAAAATGGTCTCATTCTGAACAGCTCAAAAACTAATACAATCGTCTTTTCACTACATGAGAATGATCGCAGTGTTCTGGTAAAATTAAATGGCACGTCAATACAACAAACCTCGTCTGTAAAATTTTTAGGTTTGAACATTGATGCTCAACTCTCTTGGAACAAGCACATTGATTATATTTTGAGTAAAATGTCGAAACATTGTTTTGTAATTCGTAATCTCCGTAATTTTGTTCCATTGAATATATTGAAGAGCTATTACTATTCTTATATTCAATCTTCATTCAGTTATTGTCTGATCAACTTTGGTAACTGTACAAGAATAAACGAATTACTAATAGCTCAAAAAAAGATAGTGAGAACAATGTGTTTCAAAAAATATGATAACTCATGTAGGGAGCTGTTTACCGATTTGGATATTCTAACTACTATTTCACTTTATATATTCAACTGTGTTGTTTATGTTAAAACTCATCTCGACAAATTTGAATCAGAGATAATCTTTGGCTCGCCACAGGATATATGTTAAGATCTAACTATAATTTTATTGTTCCCCACCATAAATTGACGAAAGCAGAAAACGGCCCTCTAATTATTCCCATCTCAAGTTATACAACAAACTGCCTCTTAAACAGCTATCAAACCTGCATTCCTTCAAAAAAAAATGTTAATAAACTGTTACATGACAATACATGTTATTCCCTCAATGAATACTTCCAGGCTGATTTGGAAATATTAATAACTTGATTGCAACAGTTTACTATTTTCAATTGTCATATTTTTAAGTTTCATGTTTTTTCATACTTCTGTTTGATATTTTCATATCTTTACTCTTTTATGTGGGTATATATATAATTATTTGTATCGTGAATTTCTATATTTTAGTTTGACTTTTTCCATGCTGTAGAGTCTCTGGAAATAAACTGATTTGATTTGATATATATTTCAATTCCAGAGAAAATAAAAGAGCCCTTTTTCATTACAAAATTTAAATATCAATTGAAAAATATTTAATTAGTGGAATTTCATAGTTTGCACTTGACTTCGTTTTCTAAATATACTTTTCTGTAACAAATTCCATATTTGACTGCATTACATTGTTATTTCTTTTTAAGATGTGTTTTTTTTTGAGTAAAATATCTTATTTCCATTATTTTATAATTCTTGTAAGCATTTATTGTTTCTTGGAACAATAAACTGAATTGAATTGATATTATTTTAGCGCCCCATGCCTACTATGGATAATTCTCATTCTTATATGAATGGACCACCATTTTTTAACCAACCCCAGATGAATCCAGTACGGCAAGAATTTATGCCTGACATCACGAAACTTGACCTGTCCTCTTGGGATAATACTCCTCGGCAGTTACCGGATCTTCAAGATAAACAGCATGTAAGTGTTTCTTGATAATAGTATCCTTTTGAATGCACTACAGATATATTTCCATTTCGTGAAAAGTTGCACCTTGAAATGTCAATGCAATAATATTCATTCCCAGTATGATAAATCCTAATATATAAATTTTTATTTTATAAATTATTTGATGAGTTCAACAAATTATTCCTTGATATTGAAGAATTTGATATCAAACTTGTATACATACATATATTCAGTAGTGAATAAATTCTCTCAGCTTCGTAAATATCTTGGGCCATTACTTCAATGAATTCATTACATATCAGATACACAAATACGATACAAGAGATGACTTTGTTGTCCCACAAATAAACCTTGCAAGAACAATGAACTCTATATTTCACAGAGGACTCTTGGACTATAACAAACTTCCTAATTAAATTAAACAAAGTAACACCCTCCAACTCTTCAAACACTCCTTATCTCAATATCTACAAGCACACTATTATTCCAACTGAGCTGTTTATCGTTCTTCTCTGTATTAATCTCATTATCACTTACTACTGCTACTTTTTTACACACTATATATATGCACAGTATTCAGAAATGAATTTCTAGTTTTTCTATACCACTATAGTGAATTAATAACGTTTCTGTATCTTATGTCCCACGTTTAGTAATGTTAGTCTCTTCCCTCTTATATGAGCTGCACTGGATTTAAAGTTTGATTGGGCGGGCAGTTTTTCTTATCCCATTGACATATTAATGAATCATATTATACGATAAATAGATTTAAGAAACTCACTAATAGGTAAAATAAATTACTTTCGCTAATGGAAAGCATTAGAAGCCACAGGAATTTCTGAAAGCAGTTGGTAGGATTTTGTTTTTGTTTTACTGTTCAACTTAGTTCTAATAGACATGGTATCTGGATGATGAACTCCCCTAAAGTTAACGGAAAACGCCAATGACACAATCTCATTTAGATTTTTCTTCTGTGATTTGGAAATAGTAAATTTTTATATAATTGAGGCATTTATTAGTGGTACTGCCTCACTGACAAGTGCTTTAAGAACTCTTCGTCTAATTTATTTTTGAAAATGTTTTTCATCAACTGTGACTACTTTTACACCCGGCAACCCATGAATAAATAGCCATGGTTGCTAATGAATGAATGAATGAATCATGTTTACTGCTTCACAACTGAAGAAGATATATTTTCAATATTTTCTGCACTCTTATATATTGAACAAAAGTCATTTTTTGTGTAGGAAACAGAGTTTTTTATCGACCGTTCTGGAGATTTTTACCTTCCACAACCTCAAAAAAGAAATAAAAATTGTAAAATAAAACTTTAGAACGGTATAGAAGGGGCGAACTTTTTAGTTCACCATGATAAGTTATTACGTGAATTCAAACTATTTTTCACAAAGAAAAATGATTTATTTAGTTGAAGGTTGATGGATTCCGCCAATTAACATAGCTGATAGGACTCTAAACGACCATGATACTTCCTAGGTGACTTAGGGAGTTATTAACTTAATATACCCAGAATACGAGGCTAATGGCCTCCAAAAGAAATTAAAGAAAAAAAGTCAGTATAGAAAAGAACTAAATAAGATTTGGCTTCAATCCTTCGTTTTATAGTTTGAGAAATGGAAGCAAATCTGAAATAAGTGTTAGTCATCTCTTGATGTTGAGTTGGTTAGTGAAAAAGGCGTCGAAAGACAGCATTTTTATTCTGGTAGGGGAAAAGGTTTTCAATAGACTGAAGTAAGTTGTCAACGTTGTCAAAAATTGTTTTTCAGTATTTTTATTATTATTATTGAATAAGAACCTCAAAATAGTAGTACGTAACTTTTTACTGATATTTTGAAAAAAATTCTTTATAAATGTTTGTTACATTTATGAAGTATTGAGCTTTCGAATTTTGTGTTATGTAGTACTATCGGCAGTTCAGATTTACAAGGTTCATTATTTCACTAAAATGTATCTACATTGAACAAGATTTGATTAGTATTTTCAAAGTTCAAATTACTAATAATAATATCGTTTATTATGCATAAAAAATACATTTATACATCAAAGGAAAAGGGTTAGCCAAAGGCTAACTTCCACCCTTCCCAAAAACTATATAGTGAGTGTAAGAAAATGATTTAAAAAATACTTATTTACTATCATAACAATGATAGAGAAAAGAAAAAAATAATAGATCATTGGATTGCAAATAACTCTTAAAGTTCTTAACATTATTTTGATCAATTTAACAATTCATTACACTACCAAACATTGAATTTTAAATCAGCACTGAGCAGTAAGCATCTGTGATTTTATTTCTTTCTTAATTTGATGAATATTATGATCTAAAAGGGGTAACATTTCATTCAGATAAAAAGGGACTATATAAGAAAAACATCCTTGAAATTTGATATATTGATATATTTGAATATTGCCTTCGAGTCTGTATCTGTACACATTTTTCAATCAACAATTCCTTATTGAATACTTTATTTGAGTACTGATTATATGTATTTTTTCAGGGGTGGAACACCAAGTGGAACCAGTAATTATACATGAACATGTGAACTATAAGCGAATTTTAATTAAGTCCAAAAAATCGTGCGAAATTTAGCTTCTCTCTTTGTGATTTTTGGAATACAAGTTTTTGCAGTAGAATCTAGGTCTAGTTATTTTTTTGTTATTGGTAAATATCTCATCGTATTGACCCTTTATACAGGTCAATGTTTCTGGCAAGTGGTTATATACTCTTCACCTCTGCCGATTTTAACGCATTTGGTGTATATAAAATTATTATGACCCGTTCATTGTAGTTTATTGCATGTTGATTTTTCTTTTATGAACCGCTTATAGTTTAAAACTATTTTATCATCAATAAGTTGTAGTCCGAAGAAATGTTCATTTGTGGAGCTTTTTGGCGCTACATGCAGCCGAACGAGCTGGGAATTATAGACATTAATTATAAAATATACTAAACATTATGTAAAATGTAGTAGTTGCGCAAAAAGGTTATGAGGGATTGGCGATTAAGGGACAAATATGTACTTGTGATTCTTTGTTCTCTGATCGAATATATATTTTCTTTCCTACGTGGTAAGTCCAGTGATTATTTATCACTCACGAAATGTTGCGCCTGGCACGGCAAGCACTTGTGGAGGCTCGCTGTCTCCATCAAATGGTAAGATTATTATTGAACGGAATATTATGTAATATTTGCTTGTACATGAAGACTTAAATATATCTTTATGCACTGTAATGTTTTGTATTATTCATTGAAAAATCCTTTCAAAATACTCAATATTGCTGAAAAATTACAAAAACTAATCTTATTTTTTTGTTGGGAAAAATAGATTGTGTCGATAATGAATGAAATTTGAGAATTGTATTTAGGCAATACATTTTTTGGAAATATTTTGAAAACAATATAATTCACCGAGAAAGGTAGCTTTACTAAGGAAAGTTCACTACAATATCATTTACATTTGAAATCTGCTTAGTTAAAAACATGATTTTCTTGGAAGTCTATTTGGAAAAGTTTTATAAAAAGTACATGGTTTTGGTAATTTTCTGAAAGCAGCATCTTATCATAAAAAATATATTAATGTTTATTGATGTTGAAAGCAGTGAACCTCTAACTAGAATACATTTAAAATTCATCAATTTGGTTCATAATATTTGTTCCAAGTTGATACCTGTAATATAGTTAGTTTTCTGCCCCTCGTATATCACGGCGAGTGTCGAGCCGGGAGAAGGGGTCATGGTAAAACGGGGAGTCGGAATGTACAGAATATATTGGGCTTTGGCAGTAATAAGGTGTTTTTACTCTAAACCTTTCCTGATCTGAGTTCTGAGGATTCGTGTGAGAGGATTGTGTGAAAAAACATCACAAGTGGCGACGAGGTTTTCAAAAACAGTTCAAATAACTTTGTTTGGTGAACACCTACGTATTTTTATTTTCGATTTTCAAAAAAAAATGGCTATGGAAACATCGGACATTTACGTGAATTTGACCTGGTTCAATCTGACTGGCCGATTTTCAAGAGGAGGTTAGAAAACTATTTTGTGGCCAACCAAATCTCAGACGATAAACAAAAAGTGCTATTTTATTGAACATTCTCAACGAGGAGGCTTATAAATTAGTTCACAATTTGTGTATTCCTGATGAACCTGAAACGAAAAGGTATTCTGAGTTGTGTCCGTTATTAACAGAACATTTCAAACCTAGTGATAGTGTTTTTGCTGCTAGATACAAGTTCTACACAGCTAAAAAAATGTCGAATGAAACTGCTAAGGAATGGGCAGCTAGATTGAAAAGTTTAGCTGGGACTTGTCAATTTGGAAATGATGAATTGAAAACAGTTTTGAGAGACATTTTCATTATTTCTTATGAAAGAGGTACTGTTCAGGATAGACTCATGGAAGAGAAATGTACGGTTATGTTTAAGGAAATTGTGGATATTGCCGCTGCAAAATCAGCTGCACATGCAACTTCATCTTCCAACCAATGTTTCATCAAGAAGGAATCTGAATTACATTATGCCAAGGCTGGTTTCAAGAAAAATGGAAAAGAACGAAGTCACGGTATATCGTCAGTACCGGTGAAAGGTATGTCACGAACATCTACGTCAGGAGCTCCCCCCTCCAAACCGCCAAAATGTCTAGCTTGTGGACGAAGAAACCACCAGACAGATAAGTGTTTATTTCGTGAATGTTTTTGTCATGTATGTAAAAAACAGGGTCACTTAGCAACTGTTTGTAGGGAAAAACAAGTAAACAGAACTAATAAATTTCGTTCAAATAAAGAAACACAAAACTATTTAGAAGAATCAGCTGATCTTTCTTTGTACAGTTTAGATTGAAGTAAAGCCAATATTATTAGAAATTTTTTATTGGAGGAAAGCCATACACATTTAATTTAGATACCGGTGCTTCTTACACTGTTGTTTCAGAAGATTTTTATTTGAATAATTTCAAAGATTATTTTTTAGAAGAAACGGAGAAAAGATTTAATTTATACAATGGTGATCATATTATTCCATTGGGATATTTCAATTGTTTGATTTCATTTAAAGATATGCAAACTAATATGAATATTTATGTAATTAAAGACGCAACCAGACGACCACTTTTAGGGCGCGATTTTTTTAACGTGTTTCACCTCAATATTTCAGATATTATTTCCGGAGAAAATAACTATTTTCATGAGTTGCCAAGTGATATTCAATGCATATTAGATGAGCATAAAGTTATTTTTGAACCTGGCTTAGGTAGATTTAACAAAGGATTATTTTCTATCAATTTGAAAGCGAATGTATCTCCTAAATTTTTAAGAGCACGCCCCCTTTCCTTTCGCCATAAAGGAGAGGGTTGAAAAGGAGTTGGAGCGATTGGAATCACTAGGTGTCATAGAACCAGTAGATTATAGTCCTTGGGGAACACCGGTTGTTCCCGTTTTGAAAAAAGATGGATCTGTCAGGTTATGCGGGGATTTTAAAGTCACTTTAAATCTTTATATTGAGATTGACCAACATCCTCTTCCTCGAGTTGAGGAGTTGTTTGCAAAATTGCAAGTCGGCGAAAGTAACGATTTCGACACATAAGGGATTATACCGCTACAACAGAGCCCCTTTTGGGATTGCCAGTATTCCGGCCAAATTCCAAAAACTCATGGAGTCGCTGTTGAATGGTATACCGGGTGTTGCAATATTTCTAGATGATATTTTGGTTACAGGTCGCAACAGGAGAGAACATATTACTCGTTTAGGAACTGTATTAAATAAATTGAAAGAGGCTGGCTTGAAAATTGCTTTACATAAATGCGAGTTTTTCAAAACATTATTGCCCTCCTGGACTACAGCAATGTAAGTGAATTAAGTTTTGAGGAAGGTAAAATAAATCACCAAAATAAGATTCAACGTAGCTGTTTACTGAGATTACAAAATGTAAACTTGGTGTTGCATCAGTTACCTCCAAGGGGGCACTCCCACTTTTTTTTCAAATGCAGAGAGGGATTTGCGATACTTTGTTCGAAAGGTATTTTTTACATAACAATATTTTATTTGTAGAAATCGAATCAGCAGTTTCAGAGTAAAACAGTTTTTTCTTCGTTTTAAGGATCTGCAAACGAACAATGAATATTAGAATTTCACAAATGTTTATCATTCATTTCCTGAAAATAATGAGGTCTGAATACAAGTAATTTTCTCAAACAGCAGAACTTCAACACCAAATAACTACCAACAAGTAGACTACTTTATCTCCTGAAGACACCAACTTGATTGGTGAAACGCGCGGCGAGTTTTCATCTATCTAGTTTGAAAACAGGAGTTTCCCTTTAAAAGTGTCCTATTGCCCACTTTGTTCATACTTTCTTTATGGACGGTAATTCTCAGCACGCTCATCTCGGCGATGAAATTGTGGATGATCAAATTTTTATTCAAGATAAATAAGTTTTTTCTAAATATAATAGGAGAAAGATCGTGTGAAGTATGTAAATGCTAGGGAATGATTTCATTCTATGTGAAATGAAAAAGAAAAAATATAATGAAAATGAGAAGTGAAAGTTGCTATGCTTTCAATACTTTTATTTGTAACTATCATTACTAAAGTTTCGTCCTATATGGACATTTCCTAAATAATACAATAAAAGTTTTATTGTATTAGTTTGAGAATGTCCATATAGGATGATACTGCAGTAAGGATAGTTACAAATATATTGTATGATATACACAATACAATAAAAGTTTTATTGTATTGGTTTGAGAATGTCC